TTTAATGTGTACTTGCTCTTAACCATACAATTTTTTGATAACAGTAGTTTATAAAAAATGTCCCTCTTATCTTATTTACCATAAAATATAAACCATATGAACCCTGCTTTGTACTAAGCCTACACTTTAGCAGGATTTTTAATGAGATAGTTTACTAGATTTCAATCAACAGGAGGACATGTCACCCTACCCAGACACAAGACTTTGCTCTTACTCATAAATGCCTTGTGCTAATAGGAGAAGCAGCAAATACCAGTTTTCAAGTCTGGTTTGACTTGGCCAGTGACCAAACTCATGACCTCTCGCAGAAGGCAAGCAGGCTACAAGAGACCACTGAGGTGGTACCATTTTTGTGTAGGAGGACTTGTACAAATATATAACCATTTGTTCTTAAATTTTGATAAGAGGCTTCATTTCTCATGGCACTTCCTTCAAAGAAAACATATGCAAGCAGATCACTTATAATTAAGCTCTTCCACTCTCTGTTGGAAGCATTGGTTTTGTGAGCTTGCTAAACAAAGGTCCTTTTATTTAATATAATTTTAAATAATATGCGTAGGATTTGACATCTTTGCCTTACATACACATTATTAACTTAGATAAATAAATGTTGTTTAATTCTTTCAGCCTGATTTGGTATCTTATATTTATGGTTTACATTTCGTAGACATCTCTCTTGAGATTGTCCAGCTATGGAAATATAAGTATCATATTATCATTATATTGCGTCTTAGAGAATTAAGATTTTATAGCAATTAATATACATTCCGAGCTAAAAATAAGTTATTCAAAATATTTTTGAAACATAAATTATGTGGTTAAGTGATTTATAGATAAACTACCGCTATTTTCTGATGTTTGTAATAATAGGGTTGTTGTATAAGGATATTGACAGTAAATGAAGCAAGTAATGAATGAATTGTAGTGAAAATTCTTAACTGTAGTTTGGTCATGATTTACTCAGAGTCTTGATGCAATTAAGTCATAATGCAATATTGTTATCTAGAAAAATCAGTTTGATGGAATTTTGAATCAAAGAGAAAAGATAATTATTCTGAAGTATGACAGAAGTAATGTTAAGCAGGAGTCTTCACCTAGAATGTAATGTTTGAGTAATGGAAGCAGCAGACTTCTGTAATAGCAAAGTTCAAAATTTGATTTATTGGAAAAGACCCTTATGATAAATTATTAAAATTTCAACAGAGGGTTCATTCATTTCTGATTCACTTTTTTCTGATCCTATATATGATTGTAGTTAACATGTCCCCATGCTGAACTACATGCATGTTATTTTAATTTGGTTTGGGCGAGTGGAAACAAGCTATCTATCATAGGCTGCACTCTGATCATTTTTTTTTAGTTAATACTAGAGTGTTAACACTGCACATGTGCTTTATTTTATTGATAATATGAAGCAGATGAGTGCATATTTGTTTGGGTATGCATTGCTTCTTTGTTTAAAGTCTTTATAAAGACCTATTGGCGTGAATAAAAGGAGATATATGAAAAAAAAAATTATGTAGCTTGTACCTATTGAGGACTGACATGGTCATTTGTCTATCGCTCCACTGGAGCATTCTTTTTAAATGCCAGTCGAAGAATGAGGAATACCTTTGACTGTCCTTCTGTCTGTCCAAGCATATCTCTCAATAACTCAAGTATGCTGTGAAAGGAAACTTTTCTTAGATTTTACACATTTTTAGATTCTATGTAGACTAGCTGACAATTGATTTTTATGATTTTCAGCTTAGTTTTCCAAACATATAGGAGTTAAATCATGAAAAACAAGGCAATGGTTCATATGTCCAATGTCTGTCCATAATTGAAGTCAGTTTGCAGAATTTAAATAATGTATTATAGTAATCAATAAAAGTATTTTCGGAAGTTATAATACTAATTATTAGTGAAGTAGCTTTGTTGACCAGTACTTAACCACACCTAAATAAGTACTTGATAGGATTTTAAAGGATTAGCCATCACAAGCTGATGGTCAAGTTTGACCAATACTAGAGAGAAGATAAGATAACATGTTGTCGTAGAGCACTCCAAAGATAGTAATGTAAAGCTGAATTTAATATGTTATACATGTATTTTGTAAGGACCAAATAATCAGTAAAATGATAGGGTTAGAATGTCTTTGGAGTGTCAGAGTGACTTTTATAAATGTCAAGTTTAGTTTATGGCCCTATATAATTGTATCAACCTAGTATTTAAGTCCCCTGTGATAATTTTGACTTTGTATGCGTAATTGAATGTTTTAGAAGTTCAAAAATCTGTCCTTAGTGTCAACAGTATGTTAAGGGGTGACAAAATTGTAATTATTTTAAAGAATTTATAGGGGCAGATCAAGGATTTTTGAAAGGAGGCATAATGCCAGAAAAGGGAGTTTATATACTGCTGATCGGAGCCATTTTGAAAACATTTTTGAACAATTTTATGTTAAAAAATCATATCAATCATGAGTAACATGAGATGATTTTTTTTTTTGCGATTTAACGGGGATGTACACCCCCTGTATCCGCAACTGTTATATCTGTTTTAATTATCGGGCTGTTATGATAGTGTAGAATGATTTGGTAGCTTATGATTGGTATATTCTGTAAATACAGAAGGATTATAGGACTGATACTTCACAACCACAAAATTACTTTGTATGATGAAAAAGACTAAATATTGACTTAGATTACTAAGTTCAAACATGCCAAGCAGCATCTAGTATCACACATGTTGTACTAATCATTAATTTAAATATTTATGTAAAAAGAACTTGTCATTTAAAGCAGTCCATATTACATGTAACTTTGAATCAGTATTATGATTACAAGTATAACTTTAGGAGGAAAATGAAAGAAAACCTTCTCACAGTCCAAGGTTTTTGTTTACATTTAGATCTAGGTCTGTAGGTAAGGGAGCAATTTTTTTGTTTTCAAGTAACTGTTATTTATGTTGCATCCAGCTGTTTATTTGTTCATTAGTGTAGTATAGATTTAGTTCAAATACTGTTGTTTATGGCCCACTTTTCACAGAATTATGAAGTCCCTTAATGCTTGGCAAATCATGCCTTCATAGCACAACTTTAGAAATTGAATATTAATGAAAGGAAAAATAAATGCCAACGATAATACTTGCAATAGGTTCAGCTGCAGATCTTCTTCTGAAATTATCACCAGAGGGTGATCTCCTACATTTTTTAGTTTGATTGTTTAGTTGATGCTTAGCATTCAGTGGCAAATATTGCATATCTATTCCAGACAATAACTTGGCCAATATGATATGAATATACCATTAGTTTGAAGTAGACAGACTTTCTTAGTCATATTTCTAATGTACTGACTCTCAAGGTAACAGTCTAAGTAAACATGTCACTCTACTAGGACACATTATGTTGACACTGAGCCGACTGAAGTCAAAGGATTTATAAATGGATATGAAGAAATTTTAAGGAATGCTGTGACTGACCATCAGTATTTGTCTTAGACATATAGGTTTAATAACTGACAAACATAACAACAATAATTCTGGCATTATATATATTTATTTGTGTATACATTATGGAAATGCAATCACAACAATCAATATCTTACCATTAATTAATCGGTGCAATCAGGAAAAATTTTCAAAGGCTGATTACTTCATTCACATCAAAGAATGTAAATTACTTTCTATATCAATCTCAAGAAACATTCAGTAAAGACATCATAATTTAGTTAGTAGGACCTACTTTGTTGCCAAGTCCACATTGAGAGATGCAGAGAAAGAAGAATAAAACTATAGTGGATATGAATAATAAAGGAAACTCTGCAACTACTCTCTGAAGGGGCAGTAGGTGGCCTGTTACAAAGCAAAGTTTCTACCCCATATCCAACTTAAGCTCATCTCCAGAAGATGCTAACTTTATTTTTGGATGTACGAATCTTGAATTGATGTTATGAATTCTCAATAACATAATTTGAGCCCTAAGACTTGCAGTTCTATAATTTTTTTTCGAAAAGAATTAACACAATAAACATGCTACTAGAAGCATTGAAGTGTTTTACTTCATCTTGACCTTGATAAATTTTTTTTATATTTTTATCTATGAATAGAAAAGGAAACCATGTCTTAGTATAGTCTACATTTACAAGTGTTTTAGACTAGTTGTTGTGGAATAAACTCTACAGTCTGTAGGTTATATTTAAAATCTCTCGAATGTTGTAACATTTTGTTTTTATGCTTTGAAAGTCATGGTTTCTACTCTCTTTGAACAGTTTTTATTGTTTGTAATCTCATTCTTTATCTGTTGGAAATAGTGAATTGCTTATACTTGATTGTATGTTAACCCCCATTTTTGTAAAGAAAAAAAGGGGTGGCCTTTGACACAGGAATGTGAACAATTTTAGATATAGTAAGATCACATTAGCTCACCCGGTTTTGAAGGGCAAATGCAATTTTTTCTGGTTGTTTTTCCTCTGATGTCGACTTGGTGTTAAAATTTTAAAACCCTTATCCTTTGAAACTGTCGGGACATTGGAACCAAACTTAATAGTATAATGATTTATGTGCAGAATAGAAACTAATTTCTGTGTCATTTGGTCTCTTGTGAAGAGTTGTCTCATTGGCAATCATACCACATCTTCTTTTTTATGATATATTAGGCTGTAACACAATAAACAGGTAAAGGATATATTCTTTGAACCCCAAGTTTAATGTAATTTTTTATTGCTTTTGTCTTGTTTTTATTTCATGAGTAAGTTATAATTAGAGAAACAGAGAATCATTTGAATGTAATTAAAACAAAGAGATACACGAACTGCATTAAAATGTGGGTAGTGAGGTCATGTGCTCTGTAGGTATGGAATTCCTGTTGTGTACATGGTTACAGTTGTGTTTGCCATCTGTATCCGTCTGTAGAGTTTAGTGAAGTGAACAAGGCTATAATGGTTATGAAAGGAACCATACAAAACATTAGCTATTTTGTTATTTTATTTTGGTGCTAATACACAATTTTTCTTTCTTTCCAGTTAAAACAGTAGTTATAGATACAGGTAAGTAAAAGAACAATTTAGTTACTATCAAAATTATTTCTCTGTTTATAAAAATAAAATGAAAAAAGTTTTAAGATCACAAAAATAAATAGTTACATGTTTGACCATAAAAATAGTGCGTGCTTTTCAAGGTAGTTCCAAATTAAATACTAGCAAATTCTGAAATCTTACGGTAATTACAAAAATAAAGGAAACATTTAGATTATAACTTCTAAAATACATTGATTTCATAAAAAAATGTTCTATTCAGTAATGTACCCCGGTATAGTGAACTTCTTGAAATTCAAATAATTGAAAAGTTTTCTCATCAATTCGAGCAGTAATTTTTGCGGTCAAATGATAATTACTATGTACTATATAAAGTGTGAAGTACTACTACAAGTAGTAAATCATCTTACAATTGTACATTAAAATAAACCCACCAGATAGTAGTTTAGAATCACTGCACCACTTGCACAACTTATCCTTTGCACCTGTCACCTCACCCCACCTTCACCTTGGAACTGTAGAAAATGCTGTTGCACAATTTTCATGGATGACAAAAATAGAATTAAAATAACTGATTATGTGTAAAAAATATCAAGGGGGTAATACATAAGTGTGGGAAAACTGGAGTCCCCATCTACACCTGAATAAAATAAATTTTGGTAAACCTAAACCAAATCTATCAGAGGTTATTCCATTTGACTTAAGTAGAAAATGTTGTCTTGTTTTTTTCTAAAGCTATATTTTGAAGGAGTAGAAAGTAAAAGACTGTTATATTTGATAATCAGATAGTTATCCCTACATTATATATAGATAAATCTTTGCTTTAAAATAGATTCTGTTGCATAATCTTTACATTTATTTTTCTGCATGCTTTTATAATTCTACTTTTACAAATGTTCCTCTTGTATCTAGAATACTCAGCTTAAATGTTAATTTTAAGTAGTGGTTTATTTTGTAACGACTGTTCCAAAATAATTCAAGGTACTTATAACTATAAAGAGAGTACTTATGAATCACCTTCAAAGTTCAAAAGTCTTGTGAACTATTTAAAACTTTTTAAATCTGTTATACAACTGAGTAAGATAAGATGTTTATGTTCTAAGTTTTGATATTAACTTAAAATCAGATGTTATATCTAACTTATGTAATTTTTGAATAGGGTATTTTGTAGGTAATTTTGTCAAATGATTAGTTATCAGTTTACTTGTAGATATAAGGTTGATTACCAGAGTTTTGATCGGTAATTTTATTAAAGAATTGAGAAAAACATTTTGCCTTTTTATTTAAAAATAACCTTTTGTAACATTTTATTTCAATTTCTGTTTTATAAATAAACATACAAGCAAAATTGTGTAAAGTATTGTTAGTTTAAACAACCATGTAATAATCTTTGTTATGCTGGCTCATGCTGCAAAAGATATTTCAAAGTCACTTTTTAATCTGTTATTATTATTCACATATTTGGATTAAAATGTTGTGGAGTTTAGTCAAATTAAATTTCAAAAACAACGAAACCAAAATTAAAGATGTCTGAAAAGCAGTTAAGAATAATCTAAAAAATAATTATGAGCTTCAGTTTTTTTCTGCAGCTACTAAAGAAATATAACATCAAAAATAAAAGATTGAGCAGCCTTACAGATAAATAACAGAAATTAAACATGGTTGTTATGTCACTATTGCTAACACTATGTTCTATGCACTGGGAGTGGTTATCCATATTTTGTCTTCAATTTATCTAGCTCGATGTCGCCAAAAACAAGACAGGGGCCAATGTACCAAATATAAAGTTCAGTGGTACTATAATTACAATGACAAACTATGTCAGAGATTTTGGTATGGTGGTTGTCGTGGCAACACCAACCGTTTTGAATCTGAAGAGGCATGTAAGGCCGCTTGTACCTCTAAAGTCATAGGTTTGTATCTATAAGTGATATTGTAGTGTTAGATAACAGTGCATAAATATGATGACGTTCATTTGACCATACTCATAGAATCATCAAGTATTAAATAATGAGAAAAATAATTTAAGAAAAGAAAAAGATAGTCTGTACATTGGTTCATTTCATATCTTTTTCATATCTTCTAAGTGGTAGCTTCGCCTCTGATATTTTTTTTTATTTAAGGGAGGTTTACTGTATCCCTACTTAATGGCGCCTCATAACACTTTTTAAAAACAACATAAATGCAGGTTATGATAGCATTTTTATAAGGTCATGCATTTGAAAATTGTTGTGATGTTTCTTTTTTCAAATGAGAATTTTGAAATAAAAATCTTATTAGAATATAAAGCTGAGAAGTGATATGCAGCTAAAAATTACAAATTGATGTTCAGTGATAAAACAACCACTGTTTCATTTCTGATAAAGTTTTCTTCTATAAAAGTCAGGATTTTGTGAAACAAAGTTACTGACTGCCAGTAGATATTTTTATGGGAGATTTCTACTCATCGTGTACACCATTTTTTTTTTATTAAAAAGAAACACACATTATGCAGCCCTGACTGAAAAATTCTGAAATATTTATCATGGTTAAAGGAAATGGTTCACTTGAGGCCAAATATGATAAACTTTATCATCAAATATTCTAAAGGACATAATTTGTATCTATTTCCAAATCCTTACTGCTAGGTTAAACAAATCTCTCCATAAGAGTACATTTAAGGCTTCAAAGTCAGCAAATTTTGGAAATATTTTCAAAATCTGCGTTTTTTAGACCTAAAAGCTTGAGAAAATAATTGGTTGCAACCTACCATACAAAATGTTCTGTATTAACTGAAAGATACCTATGATGATATGGAATCCCTAGACACAAAACATTTCTGGCAAATTTTTACCAAAACTGATGTTTAAACACAAATAATGTATAATCGAAGGGTCATTACATTCTATGTGAAATTTGTATTATTTTGACCTGGTTATAAAATTCATCAAAATCTTTCGGCCAATTTTAACCTTTCGTGAACTTACTACTTTGTAGTCCATGAAAGAACACTTGACTTATGATCAAGAAAGCATTTGACAATTGTAAATATTCTTTGACTTTTTATGTCCCCTTTTGTCATGGAAGGAAATGCTAACTTCAGGACAACATTATAATAATTAAAAGAAAATTATTAAAGTTGTATGATATCTCAAAAATGTTTTTACAATAATGTAAATAGTAAACTATGCAATTTTCTGAAAGTCAAATTCACAATTTGAATAGTTTGAAATTCTAATTCCTTAAAGGGTGATGGGCACATAGTGAAAGGTTTTGGAAATTTTGAAAAAAAAAATATCAGGAGGCTCCTGTTGAAAAGGGAGAGTTAATAGCTATGTCTATTTTTAAAACAAGATTTCAAATGGTTGGAGTATCACATATTTATGCAATTATACTGTTATTTTATGCCATGAATCAATCATCATTTATATATTATGTAATTCATTCATTTATATTGAATGCATAGAGTGTTAAAATTACTCATTCTCTCCAAGAAATGAAATTTTGCACTTGTCTTCATTAAAATGAAGGCAGATGGCAAAAACTAGCTGTACTATTATAATAATGTATAAGGAAACCCAGTATGACATTATACTGTGACTATGGCATGAAAAGAACGCCTTTCAGTCTTTTGCCTCTTTATACTATTACAAAAATATACAACATCACAGTCGCATGATGAATGTATTGCAGATCAAGGATAATATCTTTATGAATGCTCCATATCTTCCTTCGTGTATATATGATCAGTAAGAACTTTTTTAAGGCTGAAAATTCACAATATCTTTTTTTATTTTAATGTATTTATTCTATTGGCTTTATTAAAAAATAAAGAAACTATGCATCAAGTTATTAGTTCTAATTCTGTTTTATATGCATGAGTGAAAGTGTTTGAGTGAACCAGTAGAGCATGTTCCTTGAAACAAATATGATACTGAAAACAGAAACTTGGTTTTATTTATATCATATCCTTTCCCTCCTACTATTTTTCATTATCCACCCCTTTCCAATGATTTAAAGCCACTGTCACATGCAACCAAGCCATACAATTCCTACCAAACTGGAAACTGTCAATAAGTAATGATACCAAAGTGTGAACTAATTATTGCTTAAAATATTAGTACATTTGTATTATAAAACTATTTTGTAAATTTGATCAGACAAAGGTACAAATGGTAATACAGGTACTGACCATGGTACAAATGGTGGCGGACACAGTGGTACAGATCATGGTACTGACCATGGTACTAATGGTGGTACTAATGGTGGAATAGATAACTCAAGGAATACAGGTAAACCTTAATCTAATGAAGGATGTAGACAGTTGTACAGATGGGATGTAGACAGTAGTACAGATGGGGTTTTGGACTGAGGTACAGATGGAGTGTAGACAGTAGTACAGATGGGGTTTCAACAGAGGTACAGATGGGGTGTAGACAGTAGTACAGATGGGGTTTTGACAGATGTACAGATGGAGTGTAGACAGTAGTACAGATGGGGTTTCAACAGAGGTACAGATGGGGTGTAGACAGTAGTACAGATGGGGTTTTGACAGAGGTACAGATGGGGTATAGACAGTAGTACAGATGGGGTTTTGACAGAGGTACAGATCAGATGTAGACAGTAGTACAGATGGGGTTTAGACAGAGGTAGAGATGGGGTGTAGACAGTAGTATGGGATTGAGTGTAGACAGTAGTACAGATGGGGTTTTGACAGAGGAACAGATGGGGTGTAGACCGTAGTACAGATGGGGTTTTGACAGAGGTACAGATGGAATGTAGACAGTAGTACAGATGGGGTTTTGACAGAGGTACAGATGGGGTGTAGACAGTAGTACAGATAGGGTTTTGATAGAGGTATGGATTGAGTGTAGACAGTAGTACAGATGGGGTGTAGACAGTAGTACAGATGGGGTTTTGACAGAGGTACAGATGGGGTGTAGACAGTAGTACAGATGGGGTTTTGACAGAGGTACAGATGGGGTGTAGACAGTAGTACAGATGGGGTTATGACAGAGGTACAGATGAGATGTAGACAGTAGTACAGATGGGGTTTTGACAGATGTACAGATCAGATTTAGACAGTAGTACAGATGGGGTTTTGACAGAGGTACAGATGGAATGTAGACAGTAGTACAGATGGGGTTTTGACAGAGGTACAGATGGGGTGTAGACAGTAGTACAGATGGGTTTTTGACAGAGGTACAGATGGGATGTAGACAGTAGTACAGATGGGGTTTTGATTGAGGTGTAGACAGTTCTGTTGATTGGGATGTAGACAATTCTATTGATTGGTGTTTAGTCAGTAGATCCACAGACTTTTACTGATTTTGAATATATATTATACATATTTGTAATCAGATTGTATAACTAACCTTCTTTCACATTCAAGACTACATCTTTGGTGGTCTCGTGCTCATCTCAAGTGCAAAAGAAAACTAATAAAGATTTAATTTATAACAATACAATTTACGATAAACAAATATGTCAGATATGAATCCGCTTGAAAAGTTCAACTAGCCATAAGGCAGTTGGCATATACTGTAAATTCAGAAATTATTGCGAGGTTTTTATTATTGCGAAAAATGCGACAGAGTTGTAAACACAATAATTTAAACTTGCATTTTGAAATATTTTATATGAATTAAACAGGATTTTTGTCAAAATCGTAAAAATTAAAATCGCATTTAAGTCTAAAATGACAAAATCGCAATAATAAATGCACGCAATAATTTCTGAATTTACAGTATCAGAATTATTTTTTCAAATCAGTGGCCATTTAAGATGGCATTCAGTCTTACTGCAAATTTGGACATTCTGATATAGAAAATGCCTCATCTTGTGTCTGAAGTGAAAATGCTATTACTTTGGCTGCCAAAGCTGTTCTTTTTTTCCTTTTTTTTAAAGAACTTATTCAACAAAATACTTATTTTTTATTTCATTCATACTTATTTCCTGCATTTTGTGGGGCAGAATATTCTGTTGTATCCTGTCCAGGCACATATATTCATTTCCAAAATCCTCCTGTCCTCCCCCCCTCCCCTCCCCCCCCCACACACACACACACACACACACAAAATCAAATGGTTGTCCCTTACATTAATATATGAATAAATCAGATGAAATATCTCACAGATATGAATGGCATTCTTAGACATAGATGCCATATGAACAATGCATTCTCCTAGGAAACTTTAGTTTTCATCTGAATTTCATATTTGTAAGTCAGGACTATTATGTAACACATGGTGGAAATGCAATTACGATATGATAAAGTTGTAGCACCTGTGATTTAATTAAGTTTTATGTCTCTCAAGCTCCCCACATGTGAGGACAGAAATTTCATTATTATTAAAAAATATCATTAATTACAAAAAAGCAATGAAATTGGCTTGTTTCATGTAACATGAACTAATTTATTGTACAACACTTCAAAGTCTAACTTGAACTGTGCAGTTCAAAAGGGGGAGGTCCTGGTTTCAATAAACAGCTTGTTAAAATAAGAACTTCAAAATTAGTATTTGCTGCTCTACCAAGCTTGTGGCATATATTTAGGAGTTAAAGACTGGTCAGAGTAATGTGACTGAGTTGGGTAATATGTTTTCCTGACTATCATGTTGTAGACTGGTCAGAGTAATGTGACTGAGTAGGGTAATATGTTTTCCTGACTATCATGTTGTAGACTGGTCAGTGTAATGTGACTGAGTAGGGTAATATGTTTTCCTGACTATCATGTTGTAGACTGGTCAGAGTAATGTGACTGAGTAGGGTAATATGTTTTCCTGACTATCATGTTGTAGACTGGTCAGAGTAATGTGACTGAGTAGGGTAATATGTTTTCCTGACTATCATGTTGTAGACTGGTCAGTGTAATGTGACTGAGTAGGGTAATATGTTTTCCTGACTATCATGTTGTAGACTGGTCAGAGTAATGTGACTGAGTAGGGTAATATGTTTTCCTGACTATCATGTTGTAGACTGGTCAGTGTAATGTGACTGAGTAGGGTAATATGTTTTCCTGACTATCATGTTGTAGACTGGTCAGTGTAATGTGACTGAGTAGGGTAATATGTTTTCCTGACTATCATGTTGTAGACTGGTCAGTGTAATGTGACTGAGTAGGGTAATATGTTTTCCTGACTATCATGTTGTAGACTGGTCAGTGTAATGTGACTGAGTAGGGTAATATGTTTTCCTGACTATCATGTTGTAGACTGGTCAGAGTAATGTGACTGAGTAGGGTAATATGTTTTCCTGACTATCATGTTGTAGACTGGTCAGAGTAATGTGACTGAGTAGGGTAATATGTTTTCCTGACTATCATGTTGTAGACTGGTCAGAGTAATGTGACTGAGTAGGGTAATATGTTTTCCTGACTATCATGTTGTAGACTGGTCAGAGTAATGTGACTGAGTAGGGTAATATGTTTTCCTGACTATCATGTTGTAGACTGGTCAGAGTAATGTGACTGAGTAGGGTAATATGTTTTTCTGACTATCATGTAGACTGGTCAGAGTAATGTGACTGAGTAGGGTAATATGTTTTCCTGACTATCATGTTGTAGACTGGTCAGTGTAATGTGACTGAGTAGGTTTCCTGACTATCATGTTGTAGACTGGTCAGAGTAATGTGACTGAGTAGGGTAATATGTTTTCATGACTATGATGTTGTAGACTGGTCAGAGTAATGTGACTGAGTAGGGTAATATGTTTTCCTGACTATCATGTTGTAGACTGGTCAGAGTAATGTGACTGAGTAGGGTAATATGTTTTTCTGACTATCATGTAGACTGGTCAGAGTAATGTGACTGAGTAGGGTAATATGTTTTCCTGACTATCATGTTGTAGACTGGTCAGTGTAATGTGACTGAGTAGGTTTCCTGACTATCATGTTGTAGACTGGTCAGTGTAATATGACTGAGTAGGGTAATATGTTTTCATGACTATGATGTTGTAGACTGGTCAGAGTAATGTGACTGAGTAGGGTAATATGTTTTCCTGACTATCATGATGTAGACTGGTCAGTGTAATGTGTCTGAGTAGGGTAATATGTTTTCCTGACTATCATGTTGTAGACTGGTCAGAGTAATGTGACTGAGTAGGGTAATATGTTTTCCTGACTATCATGTTGTAGACTGGTCAGTGTAATGTGTCTGAGTAGGGTAATATGTTTTCCTGACTATCATGTTGTAGACTGGTCAGAGTAATGTGACTGAGTAGGGTAATATGTTTTCCTGACTATCATGTTGTAGACTGGTCAGTGTAATGTGACTGAGTAGGGTAATATGTTTTCCTGACTATCATGTTGTAGACTGGTCAGAGTAATGTGACTGAGTAGGGTAATATGTTTTCCTGACTATCATGTTGTAGACTGGTCAGTGTAATGTGACTGAGTAGGGTAATATATTTTCCTGACTATCATGTTGTAGACTGGTCAGAGTAATGTGACTGAGTAGGGTAATATATTTTCCTGACTATCATGTTGTAGACTGGTCAGAGTAATGTGACTGAGTAGGGTAATATGTTTTCCTGACTATCATGTTGTAGACTGGTCAGTGTAATGTGACTGAGTTGGGTAATATGTTTTCCTGACTATCATGTTGTAGACTGGTCAGTGTAATGTGACTGAGTAGGGTAATATGTTTTCCTGACTATCATGTTGTAGACTGGTCAGTGTAATGTGACTGAGTAGGTTTCCTGACTATCATGTTGTAGACTGGTCAGTGTAATGTGACTGAGTAGGGTAATATGTTTTCCTGACTATCATGTTGTAGACTGGTCAGAGTAATGTGACTGAGTAGGGTAATATATTTTCCTGACTATCATGTTGTAGACTGGTCAGAGTAATGTGACTGAGTAGGGTAATATGTTTTCCTGACTATCATGTTGTAGACTGGTCAGTGTAATGTGACTGAGTAGGGTAATATGTTTTCCTGACTATCATGTTGTAGACTGGTCAGTGTAATGTGACTGAGTAGGGTAATATGTTTTCCTGACTATCATGTTGTAGACTGGTCAGTGTAATGTGACTGAGTAGGGTAATATGTTTTCCTGACTATCATGTTGTAGACTGGTCAGTGTAATGTGACTGAGTAGGGTAATATGTTTTCCTGACTATCATGTTGTAGACTGGTCAGAGTAATGTGACTGAGTAGGGTAATATGTTTTCCTGACTATCATGTTGTAGACTGGTCAGTGTAATGTGACTGAGTAGGGTAATATGTTTTCCTGACTATCATGTTGTAGACTGGTCAGTGTAATGTGACTGAGTAGGGTAATATGTTTTCCTGACTATCATGTTGTAGACTGGTCAGTGTAATGTGACTGAGTAGGGTAATATGTTTTCCTGACTATCATGTTGTAGACTGGTCAGTGTAATGTGACTGAGTAGGGTAATATGTTTTCCTGACTATCATGTTGTAGACTGGTCAGTGTAATGTGACTGAGTAGGGTAATATGTTTTCCTGACTATCATGTTGTAGACTGGTCAGTGTAATGTGACTGAGTAGGGTAATATGTTTTCCTGACTATCATGTTGTAGACTGGTCAGTGTAATGTGACTGAGTAGGGTAATATGTTTTCCTGACTATCATGTTGTAGACTGGTCAGTGTAATGTGACTGAGTAGGGTAATATGTTTTCCTGACTATCATGTTGTAGACTGGTCAGTGTAATGTGACTGAGTAGGGTAATATGTTTTCCTGACTATCATGTTGTAGACTGGTCAGTGTAATGTGACTGAGTAGGGTAATATGTTTTCCTGACTATCATGTTGTAGACTGGTCAGTGTAATGTGACTGAGTAGGGTAATATGTTTTCCTGACTATCATGTTGTAGACTGGTCAGTGTAATGTGACTGAGTAGGGTAATATGTTTTCCTGACTATCATGTTGTAGACTGGTCAGAGTAATGTGACTGAGTAGGGTAATATGTTTTCCTGACTATCATGTTGTAGACTGGTCAGTGTAATGTGACTGAGTAGGGTAATATGTTTTCCTGACTATCATGTTGTAGACTGGTCAGTGTAATGTGACTGAGTAGGGTAATATGTTTTCCTGACTATCATGTTGTAGACTGGTCAGTGTAATGTGACTGAGTAGGGTAATATGTTTTCCTGACTATCATGTTGTAGACTGGTCAGTGTAATGTGACTGAGTAGGGTAATATGTTTTCCTGACTATCATGTTGTAGACTGGTCAGTGTAATGTGACTGAGTAGGTTTCCTGACTATCATGTTGTAGACTGGTCAGAGTAATGTGACTGAGTAGGGTAATATGTTTTCCTGACTATCATGTTGTATTCTATCACATTAACAATCTGTGTGCCATCTAGTGCAAGGAAGGCTGTATATATATATCTATTAACATGATCTCATCAGAAGCAGATCTAGGATTCTGAACAGGGGAGGAGTACCAAGGTAACCTTAGGAGTGGGACTTGTAAAAAGTGTATGCATTTACCATACAGGGGCCTCCGTTGCCAAGTGGTCTAAGTAGTTGAACTACTGTATCATTAGCCTGTCAACACTGAGGTTTTGAGTTTGAATCCCGAAAGTGGTGGGTGCATTTGACTCCAATCTTAATTGAATAGGATGGTCAGTTTTCCTACCGAAGGTAGGTGGTTCCCCCCTGGCTTCCTCTACCAAGAAAAACTGACCGACATGAAATAGCACAACAGTGCTAAAACTGGCTTTAAACACAAATCAATCATTCAATCATTTACCATATGAATGCTCCATTAGGGGGCCTTCCCACCATAATCTGCCTCTGATCAACTTGAATTTGCATGTAAAATATGTGTAGCTCCATAAGGGGGGCCTTCCCACCATAATCTGCCTCTGATCATCTTGAATTTGCATGTAAAATATGTGTAGCTCCATAAGGGGGGGGGGGCCTTCCCACCATAATCTGCCTCTGATCATCATGAATTTGCATGTAAAATTAGCCACCAATCAATCATTTATATTTTATTAAACTGAAGCACTATTCATATAGTATTCACTATGCACATAGTGTCTCCCCGTATCCTTTGTTGTTGGGAGCCAACAGTTACATTCAAACTACTGTTTTACACCACAGATCAGTTTGGTGTCCTCTTGGCTGTCTGTATCCTAGCAACGTTGATTTTTTTAGCTGGACATTTCAAAAACAAAACAATTTTTCAAGCATCCATGTTAAATTGCAAGATAAAAACAACTATGATACATACATTACAGAAAAATATAAAATTGATTTGTACTCATTTGGACACAGGAGTAAAGTTAGCTTTTCTTATGGTTTCTTAAGCTCATACAAATAAATTTCATACTTTGCAACAATGAAAATATATTGTATATGTATATACTTAATTTATAAACATTTAGAATAAAAAATATTAACAGAATGAAACGGCTTTTATTTTAGGGCTTTTATCTTATAGCCTCCCTAATAAAATTAAATGTTTGTTCAAATCAAAGTTTACTTTATTTTCAGATATCTGTCGTTTACCTAGTGAATTGGGAAGATGTAGAAAATATATAGTGAAATATTTCCACAATGCTACCACTGGCCAATGTACAAGGTTTTGGTATGGAGGGTGTGATGGTAATGCTAATAGATTTGATACCAAAGAGGATTGTGAAGCCAGATGCACCACCACAGGTATTGATAAAATTATTGGAATATTAATTATAGGAAACAACATTATTTGTAGAGTTTACCCATAATCATTTCTTAATGTAGAAATTGTTTGTCAAAATAGAGGTGAGAAAAAAAACATGAACATAACAAAGAATTTTTCACTTTAGAAGGGTTATTACAGTACTGTAGATAAAACTGCTGACTTGGGCTTAAAACTAATTGCAAATCCATATTTGTTTTGTGAAATGTGCTAGCAGTTGCTATATTTTGTCCCTTTTTTTAAATGTTGGTAATTGGCAGCCTGTAATAAGATTTACTCTAATAAAAGCCTTGGGCTGTTTCCTGCTCTTTCCTCAGGTTGTTGTCTCTTTGACGCATTCCCCGTTTCCATTCTCATTTTTATTATTGTAATTGAGATGAATGTGGTTATCAGAAAAATATAGTATTTCAGAGAAAGGGGATGGGAAATTCTCAAAATTGTTAATATGTGTGTTGGTTGGGTATTGGAAATGTCAGTTAACCAACATATTCTTTTATTGCAGGAGTTACATTAAATGCTTTCAATTAATATATTCCTAATGTTGTTTGTTTTGATTTCGTTGTTATTACCAATATATTTTATTTATGTCAATGAATTTATGGCTTGCCTACCATTTTATATTAGTTACTTTAATGATGTATCAAAGAAACATACATTAGATTGATTATAATACATCCGCTCTAATTGAGGAACAGAATCCACTGGTTAACCTCTTTTCGTCTGTCTGTAACACAATCATGTTACAATTTTCTCAGCAACTTTAAGTCATGGATTCTTAATATAGAGCACTAAGATTCATCTGATTATCCTATACAGTATAAAACACTTTCAGTTATTCAATGTTCTTTTCCTGTTTGACAATAACTTATATCTTTAGAATAAGCTCATTTAAGAAACTTTCATTACATTTAGTTAACAACATTGAGCTGAAGTATAAATAGTTATAAATAGCTCATATAACATCTTGTATAGACGACTTTCAAATATGTGCATTTTCCCAGACATTTCATATGTCAGAATGTTTATGTTATTACATCATAGTAAGAATCGATTGGTCATTGAGTTTATTTTTCTGATTGACCTCGGGTTAACCAGTGTAACTCATCCAATAAAAACAAGTCTTGATTGGTCTGTTGTAATCATTATTTTTTAAATTGTAGTAACCACAGTTGCACCACTGCCCACAACTAAACCAGGACAATGTCCTAAACTTTCTATAAGCAATATAGGATCATGTGTACAGGCCTGTCGTAGAGATGTAGACTGTGATGGCAACCAAAAATGTTGTTCTAATGGATGTGGCACGACCTGCCAAGATCCTGAAGGTAATTGAAATTAGTTGATTTGTTAACATTATTCACTCTTGTCCCAAAAGAGAAGGTATGATAAGGCCACCTTGTTTGCCCCTTCTAAACAATATCAAAAAGTATTACATGTATAAAACTTTTAAATGACATGCTTCAAATGTTCACAAGACATTATTCTTTCAGATTTCAGAAATTTTGTTAAGAAGGTCTTACATAAGTGCTTAAGGGTTTCAAACATTTAATGCAAATCTGCAAAAACTTCCAAAAATAGACATGAAAATCTTGTTATTTATATTTAGAAATGAGCAAGTCCTAACCCAAAAATATATTTTGTTTCAAGATGTCTTATAAATCGATGTTAAGGTGGGTAATTTATCTTTTTATGTCCCGTCTATAATAGTAGGGAGGCATAATGTCTTTGAATTATATGTTTAAGTTTTTTTAAGAAGTAATTTATTCTTGTTAAAGATTACATATTCAAATTATGTTTTGATTTCTTCTTTCAGACAGTTATTTATTGACACCTCCAGTAAACATCCGAGCTGACATTGTCAGAGATAATACAGCCTTTGTAACATGGAGAGATGTGGATGCCGCTGATGCCACAGAACGTAGATTATATTCTGTTAGATATAGGCAACTAGTGGCAGGCACAGAAATTCAATATACTATTGTTAATACTACAGCTCAACAAGTGTATATTACAGGGTTATCACAAGGTCAACAATATGAATTTAGTGTCAAGGTCATCCAGGGTACAAAGTTCAGCTTATGGAGCATATCAGCTTACAACACTACAAGAGCTGTTAGGGGTAAGAATAAGAATTTTGAAACATTGTAGGTAAAATTAATAAACGATGGTCTCCATATAATGAATTTACAAAATCATAAAGGACTTCTAAATTATATGTAAGCCTTTGTAAGTTTAAAAAAAAAAAATATGTTGTATAATATTTTAAGATACACTGATGCAGTTCACAAATGCCACTCTGCTATGGTAAGCTTGAAAAAAGTAGTTATTTTCCTGAAATTACTATTTTTTTATTTTTTTTTAAATTTTGGCTTTTGAGTCTAATGGCAGATGCTAAACTGCAAAAATGATCAATAAAATAAGATCTACAAGAAAATAAGTGACAGAAATTGTCAATTGACTCCTTATAAGGGTTCTTCACCTTATATGACCTAGCAGAGTGTCAATTTTGACAGCTAAGATTTGATATAGATTGCTAATGATTCCTGTTTGAAATAATATAAGCCAGACAGTTATGCACGACAGGCTCCTAGATATCTCGAGCTCAGTATCTAATATCGTTTATTGAAGGATATAAAGCTGGAGAATGTCCACCATTGACTGCTGGAACAGGAGGTATATGTGTTGAAGGATGTTCGTCAGATTATGATTGTACAGGGACACAGAAATGTTGTTCTAATGGTTGTGGTCACACATGTCAGGAGCCAAATATAGGTAAGGCTGTGTACACAAGCATGCATTGAGCATGCCTTGAACTAGCTTTAAATATCCTGTTGGGACACCATTATGTTTTTATAACACATCATTAGGCAACCAAAGGATGAGGATGTAAACAACTGTAGGGTACTGTGCAGCCTTCTTCAATGAGCAAAACCCATACTATATAGACAGCTTTAAAAGGACCTTGACAAATTGTAAAACGATTCAAAAGAAAAACCAATGGTCTTATTTGTCTATAAAGACAACCAACCAGCAAATTTAATAGGAATCTAATCATCTAGGATTGATGATGCTACACAAACAGGAAAAACGATAAAAATCATGAGGATTTGTGTAACGATACCGATATATGAGAGTTATTCATGAACAAGATGTTATAAAACCGATTTCATAGCATCTTGTTCGTATATTACTATCTTATATTAGTATTGTTGCACAAATCTTAAGACTTTTATGTATATATATTTATATATACAGAATGGACACCTCCTTTAAGCAAAAACCTTGTCAGGTCACCCTCTTGTTGTCCGGTTCTAATAATACTTATGCATTTTGGACTTCAATTTAAAGGTCACCTCTCTTATCAGGTCAGTTTTCTCTGTTCTTGAGGCTGACTTAAAAATATAAAAGATTGACTGAACTCAGATTGAGTTAGTATTATACACAGATTCAAGACGAGCAATATGGAAACATCTGAGATTCTAGTTAATGTTTTGAGTCAGTTATTAGGGTACTGACAAGGGTTGCCTGTCTGTCCAAAATTAGTATGTCAGAAAATAAGTTTTGACTGATTTTACTCTCATCCAAGAAGAATCTACGGATCTCTGAATTGGTTTACAAGTTATATTCATAATTATTTTGCCTGCTGCTAGAGGGAAAATAGCAGAAGAATAACAATACAGTACCTTATTTGTACAACAATAGTTGATAATAGTATTTTTGATTTCAGTTGAAGTAGCCCCAGAAACCACTGGTGCTCCACAGACATCAGGTATGTATTAACTTGAATTTTTCTTCTCTTTATTAGGAAACATCAGTATGGATACAAGATGTGGGATATATGTCAATGAGACAGCAAACTAATGACACAAACATTAAAAAGACATCTACAGGTTAATTGTTTACTATCATGACACAAACATTAAAAAGACATCTTCAGGTTAATTGTTTAATAGCATTTTCCTAATCATCACTAGTTTTCAGTTTTCTGACTAGTATAAAAATAAGGAGATGTGTAATGATTGCCATAGAGACAACTATCTATCAGAGTCAAAAGGACATGGATATAAGCAAATGAAGGTCACTATACAGCCTTCAACAATGAGCACAACACATACAGAATAGTCAGCAATAAAAAGACCTGACATGACAATATGTCAAACAATTCAAACAAGAAAACCAACAGTTTATGTCTGCTTTTACAAAACATTAACTTACATGAAGCAAATCAAATGGTACAGAATGTAACTCAGTATGGAAATATGTAGGTTACAGTTGCTGCAATACTATCTTATTTGTCCAAAATTCTTTTCAAACTGCATCAAAGTCATGCAAAAAATCTGTGTTGATGTGAAATGCTAGGTAATGATTGTGTTCAGCTACAATGTAAAGTGTTCTGATGAAATATAACTTCTATAAAGATTGTGTTCAGCTACAGTGTTAAGTGTTCTGATGAAATACATCTACTATAAAGATTGTGTTCAGCTACAGTGTAAAGTGTTCTGATGAAATACATTTACTATAAAGATTGTGTTCAGCTATAATGTAAGTGTTCTGATGAAATACATCTACTATAAAGATTGTGTTCAGCTGTAATGTAAAGTGTTCTGATGAAATACATCTACTATAAAGATTGTGTTCAGCTACAATTTAAAGTGTTCTGATGAAATACATCTACTATAAAGATTGTGTTCAGCTATAATGTAAAGTGTTCTGATGAAATACATCTACTATACAGATTGTGTTCAGCTATAATGTAAAGTGTGCTGATGAAATACATCTACTATAAAGATTGTGTTCAGCTATAATTTAAAGTGTTCTGATGAAATACATCTACTATAAAGATTGTGTTCAGCTACAATTTAAAGTGTTCTGATGAAATACATCTACCATAATGATTGCTCAAACCACTGCTACACTATATTTCAGTTCCAAAACAAAGCAATTCTTTTCTTGTTTTGGACTTTTACTGTGGATTCATTTATTTTCGTGGGTACCAATTTTCGTGGATTGAGGAAATCTTGCATATTCGTGGATATTTGATTTCGTGGTTTTCCGAAAGTCTACATATAATCATACAACAAATTCTCAATTCGTTGAACATTTAAGTTTGTGGTTTCCCTGTACCCACGAAATCCATGAAAATTGGTATCCAACAAATAATAAGGAATCCACAGTATTTGAACTTCGAATACTTTTTGTGGCTGCTAAGCAGCTACAAATTATATAGTAGAATCATCTGTGATAACATTTGTTTTTATACAGCTCATTTCTGTAACTTGGAAGCAGAAAGAGGTTCCTGTACAGACTACAAAATAAAATGGTCATTTTCTGGAAAAGATGGAAAGTGTAAAAGATTCTGGTATGGTGGTTGTAAAGGAAATCGTAATAATTTTGACAGTGAGGAAGATTGTGATGCAGCATGTCGTAGGAGCGTTACAGTTCAGGGTGTGTATATAAAAAAGAAGATGTGGTATGATTGCCAATGAGACAACTCTCCACAAGAGACCAAACGACACAGAAATTAACAACTATAGGTCACCATACAGCCTTCAACAATGAGCAAAGCCCATACTGCATAGTCAGCTAAAAAAGGCCCCAAAATGACAAATGTAAAACAATTCAAACAAGAAAACTTACGGCATAATTTATGTACAAAATAATGAACGAAAAACAAATATGTATATATGTATAAGGCTTAACTCATCAGATGGATACATATAGAAATACATCTAACAAAAAAACAGAGTGGACGTGGACAGGTACTTGTACATCCCAACAACAAAAAGACACTAAGCACAGATCTGAGAGTACTTACAATTACTGACAACTAGTTCAAAGCCAATAACAACTTATAAAAAAAATCATGCATCTAAGACTAAATGCTAAATGCAGTTTGTATTTATTTGAGGTAGATTGATAAAATTCAGCACACAATAAACACTGGTTTTAATCAGCATTCAAGTATATTTAGTTTAGATTTTTACTGATTAGCAAACTAAGTATAAAAATGCAATTTGACGTCATTATTTTCAATCATTAAAATATATGCTTTTGTTGTTGTTCTGGTTGGCATGACATCTCAATTATGTATACCCATATCTCTTTTTATGCATTAAATTTTATAACATTAAATAATATTTGTAAAACAATGGAAGGATTACAATATTCCAAACTCGAAGAATTTATTTAAATCAGATGAACTAATTCCTTCTGATTGAACTTTGTTTTGAATTAAAGGAGATGTTGGGTATACTACATCCATTAGACGAAAAAAAATCGAAATACCTCTAGTTGTCAACACTGGGTCATCAACAACAGGCAATTGTCTATAAAAAATGTTGACCTCTTAATCACATTGAGTCTAGAAAACTAGTGAACAAATTAAACACAGACCATTCGCTCCATAATCAACACCAATTCCCTAATAATTTATTTAAAACTGAAAACATTAAGAAACACTAAAGACAACCACTGACAAAGATTCCAGATTTGGGACTATGCCTATTGATTTACCTGTTTTGATGAGTAGTAATAGGAAAACATAATAATATTATGGTAATTATACTTAATTTTAATTTTTTAAAAACTTGCAGATATTTGCCAGCTACCTCAGGCTCATGGACCATGTAAAGCAGCACATAGAAGATGGCACTTCGACCAGACAACAAAAGATTGCACAGAATTTCTTTATGGTGGTTGTCGTGGTAATGAGAACAGATTCAGAACACGTGCAGAATGTCTGATTAGATGTGGTAGCGATGGTTAGTTCTTTTCATTTATAATGCTTCCATTGTTGATAAGGTGATGAATAGCATTATAAAGTCTGTTCCTTTGATTTATGCTATTTCCCACAATATCATGGATTGTTTTCTCATTTTCATCCATTCCGTACCCCTTCACCCCTCTACCTATAAAATTTCATAATTCTATTCAGCAGTGTAACAAAAAAGAAGGATGTGATTTTTCTTTTTCACTTGCCGTCTGTCGTACGTCAGTGTCCTTGTTTGTTAACTTTTACGAAAATCTTCTCCTCTGAAACCACTGGGCCAAATTTACCCAACTTGGACACAATCATCATTGGGGTATATAGTTTAAAAAATATGTCCAATGACCCTGCATGCCAACCAAGATGACCAACAGGGCTAAAAATAGAACATTAGGGGTAAAATGCAAGTTTTGCCTATTATAGAGCTCTAACTATTGTCCACGTAAGTCAAAACTGTCGGACGACTTCTTATAGGAGTTATTGCCCTTAAAAGACGAATTTTACCATTTTAAAATTTTTCCCTATTATCTGGAAAATTATAATAGATAGACAGAAACTTTAAATAGCAAAAATGGTCAGCAAGATAAGATCTACAAATTTGTAAGTCGACTCCTTATTGAAAATATTGCCATAAAAGAATGATTTTTACCATTTTTAGCTCACCTGGTCCGTCTTCCGGCGTCGTCCATCATCGTCTGGCGTCGTCCGTTGTCGGCGTTAACTTTTTACATTTTGAACATCTCCTAGAGAACCACTGAATGGAATGAAACCAAACATGGCATGAATGTTCCTTATGAGGTGCTGACCAAGTGTTGTTACTTTGTAGTGGATCCATCATTCAAGATGGCCGCCAGCGGGGGACTTAGTTTAACATAGGACCCTATGGGAAATACATACAATGTCTTCTTTTAGAGAACCAATGAATGGAATGAAACCAAACATGGCATGAATGTTTCTTATGAGGTGCTGACCGAGTGTTGTTACTTTGAAGCCGATCCATAATCCAAGATGGCCGCCAGCGAGGGACTTAGTTTAACATGGGACCCTATGGGAAATACATACAAATGTCTTCTTTTAGAGAACCACTGAATGGAATGAAACCAAACATGGCATGAATGTTCCTTATGAGGTGCTGACCAAGAGTTGTTACTATGAAGCCGATCCATAATCCAAGATGGCCGCCAGCGGGGGACTTAGTTTAACATGGGACCCTATGGGAAATACATACAAACGTCTTCTTTTAGAGAACCACTGAATGGAATGAAACCAAACATGGCAAGAATGTTCCTTATGAGGTGCTGACCAAGTGTTGTTACTTTGAAGCTGATCCATCATCCAAGATGGCAGCCAGCGGGGGACTTAGTTTAACATAGGACCCTATGGGAAATACATACAAATGTCTTCTTTTAGAGAACCACTGAATGGAATGAAACCAAACATGGCATGACTGTTCCTTATGAAGTGCTGACCAAGTGTTGTTACTATGAAGCTGATCCATTATCCAAGATGGCAGCCAGCAGGGGACTTAGTTTAACATTGGATCCTATGGGAAATACATACGAATGTCTTCTTTTAGAGAACCACTGAATAAAATAAAACCAATCATGGCATGAGTGTTTCTTATGAGGTGCTGATCGAGTGTTGTTACTTTGAAGCCAATCCATAATCCAAGATGGCCGCCAGCGGGGGACTTAGTTTAACATGGGACCCTATGGGAAATACATACAAACGACTTCTTTTAGAGAACCACTGAATGGAATGAAACCAAACATGGCAAGAATGTTCCTTATTAGGTGCTGACCAAGTGTTGTTACTTTGAAGCTGATCCATCATCCAAGATGGCAGCCAGCCGGGGACTTAGTTTAACATAGGACCCTACGGGAAATACATAAAAATGTCTTCTTTTAGAGAACCACTAAATGCAATGAAACCAAACATGGCATGAATGTTCCTTATGAGGTGCTGACCAAGTGTTGTTACTATGAAGCCGATCCATAATCTAAGATGGCCGCCAGCGGAGGACTTAGTTTAACATAGGACCCTACGAGAAATACGTACAAATGTTTTCTTTTAGAGAACCATTGAATGGAATGAAACCAAACATGGCATGCATGTTCCTTTTGAGGTGCTGACCAAGTGTTGTTACTTTGAAGCTGATCCTTCATCCATGATGGCTGCCAAATGGGGACAGTGTTTAACAAAGGACCCTATGGACAATACATACAAATGTCTTCTTTTAGAGAACCACATACGGAATGGATTGAAACCAAACATGGCATGAATGTTCCTTATGAGGTGCTGACTAAGTTTTGTTACTTTGAAGCTGATCCTTCATCCATGATGGCCGCCAATGGGGGGACTTCCTTTAACATAAGACCCTATGGGAAATACATACAAATGCTTCTTCTAGAGGTGCACTGAATGGAATGAAACCAAAACATGGCATAAATGTTTCTTATGAGGTGCTGATTAAGTGTTGCTACCTTGTTGCCGATTTACTGTTCAAGATGGCCACCAGGATTTTTTATTAAATTACAGGACCAATATTAAACCAAATTTGGCCTCACTCATTATTAGGGTATCTGTTATGATTTTAATCTATTTTTACATGATTTCCAAAACCAAAGTAGAATCAGGTGAGCGACACATGCTCTTGAGAGCCTCTAGTTGACTATTATCTTGAAAATTGTCAAATATAGTAAGAAACTTTAAATAGCACAAATGATCAGCAAGACAAGATCTACAAATAAGCCATTATGGTTGAAATCTTCAGTCGACTTGTTATTAGAGTTATTGCCTTTTAATGATATTGTTTTTTACATTTTTTGCATTTTTTGCCTATTATCTTGAAAACTATATTGGATAGATAGAAGCTTTAGAAAGGAAAAATTATCAGCAGGATAAGATCTACAAATATGTCAACATGACTGATATTGTCAGTTAACTCTTAATAGAGTTGTTCCCCTTTAATGATGATTTTTACTTAAAAGTGGCCATTGTTGAAGATTCAGGTGAGTGACACAGGCTGTTTGGAGCCTTTATTTATCATTTATGAATTTTACTGTTGAAATATATTTTTTTTATTTTGTGTTTTTGGAGGGAGCTGTCCAACCTTCCTGAAATTTCCAGTGTCACACCATAAATAACCTCTAACTCCTACACATATTTATCCAACACTGCTTTTGTAATAGTAAGTATAGCAGCAAACCAAAACTGTAATACTTAAAATAAGAAAAAATAACCATATAATAACATAACAATTTTTTACTGTTTGCATTTTTGGTATATATAATGTTGTCTGTCATGGTAGACATATCATATTTTGTTCACCTATTGGTGGTTAATTCTTTCCTGAATATGCCATCTTTTCATAGACATCTATGAATGTCCATTAAACAATGGTCCATAATTATTTCTTGTGTTTACATTTGTATTAAGAAGAAAAAAATTTTCATTTCAGAAACAAAACTGAAAGTAAATGCTCTCCATGCTATGGATAAATCTTATAATAAAATAACTTTAAAATGGGATCCTCCAATGATGTCAAATGAAATCAGACAATATAGGGTAAGTTTACACTATGAGCATAATCAGGCAATATAGGGTAAGTTTACACTATGAGTATAATCAGACAATATAGGGTAAGTTTACACTATGAGTATAATCAGGCAATATAGGGGTAAGTATACACTATGAGCATAATCAGGCAATATAGGGTAAGTATACACTATGAGTATAATCAGGCAATATAGGGTAAGTATACACTAGGAGTATAATCAGACAATATAGGGTAAGTTTACACTGAGTATTATCAGACAATATAGGGTAAGTTTACACTATCAGGCGATATAGGGTAAGTTTACACTATGAGTATAATCAGGCAATATAGGGTAAGTTTACACTATGAGTATAATCAGGCAATATAGGGTAAGTTTACACTATGAGTATAATCAGACAATATAGGGTAAGTTTACACTATGAGTATAATCAGACAATATAGGGTAAGTTTACACTATAAGTATGTATGCAATATACAGTAAGATAAAACGAGAAGTTAAGGGAATTTTACCCTTTATTTACAGCTCAATTTGGCCTGAATATTCTTTAAAGGTGTACAACATTCCTTGTAAACAAAGAAACCAACTCGGGTCTCGGAAAAGAAAGTTATTTATAGATCAGTAACAACTGGTTTCTATTTTTATTTCTTGACTAAACAGGTTAAGGATGTATAGGTACACCAACAGACAGAACAAAATTTGTTTATAATCTTTATTAAAGAAATAAAACTCAATAATATATATAACATCAGACATGTAAATTTTATAAGAATTCAACAGTACATGTGGATCACAGCTCTTCATCTTACTTTGTGGATTTCCTTAACTATCCACTTGTTAGACCCCATAATTAAGCCTTTTGGATATAGACATACTTCGCTTTATTGCATAATTATGTTTCACTAATAGGCTATGCAAATAACCCAAATCCACTGTAGTTGCATAGTGTGTAGATTAAGAACAATATTGAATGTCTTTATATAAATTTCATGAAAATAACAGTTGTTCTTGCCGATATTAAGCCGATATTTGCTTTACAATGATAGAGTGGAAAATTGCAGGTCAAATTAGTTTGGTTCACACACTATTGAAATGAACATCTATTTGAAAAAAAATCTGGAAAATGATAGTTTTCTCAACCTTCAATCTTTACATATGGTTGAAAAAATTTGTAAATTGAGTATTTCCAAATCATATATACATTTGATTGGTTGACATAGTTTTGACCCAATTACTGCAAATAGCATGAAGCAGCTTTGTCCTCAATTTATATTTGGGGTATAATTGAAGTAATGCTCCAATTTGGAATTCTTTCTGGTTGCCTTTAACTCTTCTTTAAGTCATTGAGCTTATATTTTAAGTGTAATTGTATGATAAGAGGTTTCTGATCATAATTGACTTGCGTTCTGGTTGATATATGATATCTTTGGTACAATTATTGCTTCAGGACCTGAATTTTATTTTAAATTAGATGTTTTATGTCTTTTTTTCTGTATTAATGGATGAATGGTCTCTAAATAAGCTTCTGAATAATATTAAAAAAGGAGATTTACAGTATATTTTGGCTAAAGTGTTAGGACATTATGTACACATTTTTTTGCCTGTTCACATTAGACAAAAGGGAAATAACTCAAACTTTCTAGAGTTGTGCTAACAAAAATCTTGGAGGCTTTGAGACATGACAAAGTTGAGATTTATGTTCAATATAAATACCAGATAAATTATTTGTTGGATTGTGTTCCTTCTTGAAATTTCCATGTAGTATGCTGTTAAAAATTGTGAATTATTCCCCTTTGAGAACAACTTTTGCTTTGTTTACCAAAATTCAAGTGGCGAATTTTACATTTTTCTTCTGAATTCAACAATGGAAGTTTAACATAACGTAATTGAGAAAGATAGCTTTTAAAAGAGACCAATACTAATTTATTTGTTTGAAATTTGAATTTTTTGTTTATATGCATATAGTGTAAATCACATGCAAACTAATATAAAAAAAGTTCTCTTTTAAAACTATGTAGTAGTTCAGGTCAAACTTATTCTGAATAATCTTGTCTTTCATTGGAAACTTGCATGGAGTGATAGTTGGCTGAACCATTCAAACTCTTTGGAGTCTCTAATTCTATGTTAATTACTGAAATAAAATATGCAATTTGTTCATTAATATGTTATGTGGCAAATGTTATCTGTGAAAAGGACATTTTCCAATATCATGGAGCATTATGTTTTCTTGTCTGTTTGTCTGTCTGTTCATTGGTTGTTCTTTCCTGTATCGGGTAAAAGTTTTAGTTTAAGGAAGTTCTTTATGAAGTTTTGGCAATTTCTATGAATTTTTTTCGAAAAATATATCAAATTAGGGTATGGATAGAGATTTTGCGGTTTACTGAACATGAAAATGTGATAGTGAAAGTGAAACTGTGGCAAGGTGTCATAAAGACGCATATTTTTGTATTTAAACACTTAATGGTATTTGATTCTTAAAATTAATTGTGAAAAAAAATTAAAATGATAATATCAGCAGTCCAAATATTGAAACTTGTTTAAACCAAGCTGTAATACATTTATAAAAATTTGATTCCAAATCTTTGAATTTGTAGCTGTCATATATGGGAGAGCGTTACTATAGAGACCAAGTTCAGCAAGATAGTGTGAGTGTTATTGATATTCCTGGAAGTGTTTCCTCCTACAGTATCAATGGATTAAAACCTTCAACACAATACAGATTTAATTTGACAGCTATTTTAGGAGATGGTAGGAGGGGACCAACAGAACAAGTAGTTGCTGATACTATGGCAGAAAGTAAGTGTTTCCTATGTAAATGGAATTTTTGTAAGATTTAAACTTACTTCAATGCATGAGGTGTGACCAAGATTTGTATGTGTTATTGGTTTCCAGACACTTACCTATCAACCTGTGAAAAGACCAAAGGACAAGGATGTAAATAGATTCTATTCACCATACAGCTTTCAACAATGAGCAAAACTTATACCATTCAGTAAGCTATAAAAGAATAAAAAAATGTGAACCAATTCAAAAGAGAAAATCTTTGTCCTGATTAAAGCTTATCACATTAAATGAAAAATAATTACAGCAGACTGCAGCCAACTATAACCTCTGCACTACAGGCTCTTGGCTTGGGATAAGCACATACAAAATGTGATTGAACAAGAAGTTGATCCTTTTTTTCCTTGTATGGTCTCTTTCAAAAGCTTCATTAATATCATTCATTTACTTTCTTGATTGTTCATCTTCAATACAATTGATAGAGTTGATATTGTATAGGTAATTAACTGTATTGCTTGGAAATGATTTCCAAAGAATGGATTGATCAATTAATTACTGAATACATGTATACTGTGCTCAATAGAACATTGCTTCATCTTAAGGAAATATTAGAATATGAATTTTGATGTACTTATTAAGATCTGTATACTTGTAGCTCCTGAGTACAAGGCTGGTGAATGTCCTCGTGTAGAACTGACATCTAACATCAATCCAGATTGTGCAAGGCTATGTCAGACGGACTACGATTGTGCTGGAAATTTAAAGTGTTGTCGTGATGTCTGTGGAATGTCTTGTCAGGCACCTAGACGTAAGTTTTGATGTTATGTCAAATGTTTAACAAGCATATACTGTATATCTAGTTATTTTCGCTTCAGGTTTTGTTCATGATTTTGGCCTTGGATGGGGTAGTTAAATATTCACTGTGTTCCTTTTTCCCTTGCAATGATCTTGAACAGCCCTTTTAAGTACCAGAGAAATGTTCATGTAGAGTACCACGAAAATTAGATGCACCATTTACAAAGCAAATTATAATCTTTTTTATACTATATATAAGTGCTACTTCTATTTGTGTAATTACTTTGGCTTAAATCTTAGGAATATATATGTAGATATGAAATACTGTTAATAACATTTCACTCCCAAAGTACTGGTATACTTTCTTAGGGTATCTAGTGATATTGTATGACAGAGGAAATTTGAATAAATAAATGTATGTCATTAATAAAAGTTCCTGAGTTTAATTTGTGTTTACAGCTACAGAGACTGTGAGGTTATGTTTTGAGGCAATGTGGGGTTGTTGTTTGGATGGTGTGTCAGTAGCCCAAGGACCAAATTACAAGGGATGTCCTGATGCTTGTCAGGTATAATAACTTTAGTCAAATGTTAAAGGTGCTAGTTTGGTTATATATTTAAACTCTTTTTTTAAATAAAAATTAGCAAAAAGAATTAAATATTATGAATGTACATGTATATGGTAGATAATAATCTACAATATTCAGAATAAATTACTGATTATGTGATATGGATTTGAGACCAATTTTAAGTAGACTTCATTTATTATGAAAATAAAAGTCTTGATTAATTGTGAAAGGTGAAAAATGTAGAAGAATTGAAAGACAATTCATTTTATTTGAAATAAGTTATAATATTAGATTCGTTATCTTTATTCTGTAATTAAAAATTATTATTTGATTGAGTTTATAAAGGTACCAGTAAGTTTAATTTGAAAAGTAAAACCTGATCTCTGTTACAGGGTACAGAATATGGATGTTGTGAAGATGGTGTCACTCAAGCTACAGGTAATTATATTAACAAAATTAAACATTCATCTACATAAGAAAATGCCTGTACCAAGTCAGGAATATGACAGCTGTTATCCATTCGTTTGATGTGTTTGAGCTTTTGATTTTGCCATTTGATTAGGGACTTTCCTTTTTGAATTTTCCTCGGAGTTCAGTATTTTTGTGATTTTACAATTCCATCTTTATAAGCATTGAATAATTGTTAAGGTTTAATAGCTGATAGAGGGTAGCTTTACAGTGAATATAATCAAATTTCCTTCTTAGCAGCAAATTTTGTTTTTAACAATAGTCAGTTTATCAGTTTACAAATAGCTCTGGATAAAAATTGAATTAATCTGGCCTGTTGAAGAATGTCTAGATATACATCTATTTATTCCAACCTTGTATATTTGAAAATAACATGAATTCACAATCAGTTTTAATTTTTATTGAGTTACTCATTTATTGTCTGCTTTGACATATGTACATTTATTTATATAAATAGGACCTAACAAGGATGGTTGTGAAGTAGGGTCCGGTGATGAGGATAACTTCTGTGAACAGTCCGTCTATCAATGTTGTGCTGATGGCATTACTCCAGCACAAGGACCTAACAAGGAAGGTTGTCCAGAGTATACAATTGTTACACGGAGACCAGATCTTGGTAGGTATAATCTAACTAATTAATTGTTGATTTTTGTTTTTTTGTTGGGTTGCTTGCTGTCTTATTGACATATACTAAACATTTTAATTCATATTTGTATTGCATCATCTGGGGAAGAAATAAAGGAATGATATTGAAATCTATTTTGTTTTGATTTCTTCACATTATAGAACCATTTCCTCTATTTTTTTGGAATTGAGAAACTGGCAATTATTCATCACTTTCTTGTAAATGTATATTTTGTATGTGAATAACTTCTAGAGCAATTTTTGGTGTATATATCAACATTATAAACAATCTTCTATTGTAAAAGAAAAGCAATATTTTCTACAGTTTATACAAATGCTTTATGCTGTTTTAGTTATTAATGCTGTGTTACTTTTCATGTTTGTAAATGCACATGTTCAAGACTATGATATGCAACTAAGAAATTTTTTTAGAATAAAATTTTCATGCATATAAATCATTTAAAATGTACCATAAGTAATTTCTATTAAATTTCATTGAAGGCCCTGTTTGTCAACAACCTGAAAAGAGAGGATCATGTTCTGATTACACTGTGAAGTATTTCTTTAATACAACTTCAAGCAAATGTGAGAGATTCTGGTATGGTGGTTGCCAAGGAAATCAAAATAATTTTGACAGTGATGAAGAATGTCAAGCAGCATGTGTTCAAAGTATGTGGTCAAGTCTTGTAGTATGGATGTTACTTCATTTATTCATACATGTCGGCTTTAATTTAATTTAAACTATTATTTTTTTTCACTGCTTGAGGTTTTCACTACAGCATTAGATTTAAGACTTTATTAATCAATTAATATTAAGGAATCAGAGTTCATTTGTTTATGAAACTATTCTAATGTATTTTGCAATTCCACACACAGTTCATGTTGTCATATAGTATAAAAATAAGGAGACGTGGTATGATTGCCAATGAGACAACTTTCCACCAAAGTTCAAATGAATTGGATGTAAGCAATTATAGGCAACTGTACAGCCTCCAACAGTGAGAAAAACCCATACTGTATAGTTGGCTATAAAAGGCCCAGACATGAAAATGTGAAACAATTCAATTCTGAAAACTAACAGCCTAATTTATAACAAATCAATTTACATAAAAACAAATATGACAGACATGAACCAATGACAACCACTGAACTACAGGTTTCTGACTTGGGACAGGCACATAAAGAATGTGGTGGGGTTAAACATGTTTGCTGGCACCAAACCTTCCTAACCTGGGACAGTGGTGTTACATAAGAACAGACTAGTACCTTGTTTTGTCCCGTGTGCAATAGTAGAGGCGTCCCTTATTTCTTCAATCCATTCGTCCATCCTTTGTCATGTTGAAAGTTTTGTAAATCCGCTTTATGTAGTCAAATTGACTTAAAACTTAGTACCCAGCTTCATTATGATAGGAACTGTCTAAATTGTTTGCCAAATTAGGGTTATGACCCCAATTTTAGGGTTCAGAAATGTGATCCTGGGAAACCTGTACATTTTCAGGTTAAATGTTTTAGATTAAAGTAGTTTAAACTAGTCAAATTATTTTTTTTCTCTTATTTCACACAATTTGTTGAACAAAGAAAATTATAGTGTTAGAGGGGTATGATGTCCTGTGCACACATATTGTAGTTTTTAAGAACATAATTTGGCACTATATAACTAATTCAACAAAATCATGTCAACTAAATGAATTAGTGTAAACAAAGACTTAAAACCATATATTTTTTTTATGAAAAATGAATTTGCAGAAGTTGTAGATGAAACATTGCCAGTATGTCAACAGCCAAAGAAAACTGGCAGATGCCGTGGATACTTCAAAAATTATTTCTACAACAAAGATAATCGACAGTGTGAGCAATTTATTTATGGTGGTTGTGATGGTAATGACAATAATTTTAAAACAGAAGTTGAATGTGAGAGACGATGCAGGACAGGTGGAGAAATTACAAGTGAGTTTTGATATTGTATAAAACTCTATTATGTTATGTACTTGTTAATTAATGAGAATGACCATGATATAGAATGTAAACTAACATACAATGGATCAGGCTTTGAATGGATTGATTGATTGTAGGTGTTTAACACCTGGCAGGAAAAATTAAATCCTAGTCAATTAAGATCAAAGTCAAATACACCTACCACTTGCGGGGTTCAAACTCACAACCTCAGTGTTTACAGGCTAGTGATTGCTGTATTTGATTTACTTAGACCTCTTGGCCACCGAGGCCCCAAGGTTTTGAATTGAATGCATCCCTCAGTAATGCAAGGCCTCAAAGATACCAGACTCATAATTTAAGTATGCTAAATGCATGTATAATCTGCAGAGCACTTACCAGAAATTCTCAAATCAAAACGTTTGGAAGGCTAAATCAATTATATAGCGACGATAACTTAGCAGACATTCTTTACACGTAAATTTAGCAATTATTACATAACTTTAATGCCATTGTTGAGCCAGGGTCTTATTGCCATTTTGGAGATGTCTAGGTAAGGATATTTCTATACCCTATACACCCTAAGGATGTCAATTGGGATAAGCACTGTGTAAGTGTTTGGCAGTTCACAAATCAGTTCTGATAGTTTTAAATATTTTTTTTTTATTATGGAATGCTGAAGAAATGGAAATTGGAGATCTTCCATTTAAGGCGAAGTGTACGTAATTGCACGCCTCTAGCGGAATTTAGGACATAAAAAACGTGCGTCGTTAGTTACGCGGATTATCTCCCCTACTCCAAGAAAGGAAAAATGGGCACATGAAAGAAAAATGACTTCGTGCGGTCTATCATGAATCCAAACAAGTATTCATGTGCTATCTCAAAACTTCAAAGAAATTATAAGAATGACTCCAATCAGAAATCTGAGTATCCTATTGTGAGTTAGTCTGACTTTATTACCACTGTTTTTGTTTTAGACACGCAGGAGCAGGTACACAATACTGTACAACTCGTGTTTTTTTCAACAGAAGGTAAAAACGCATAAACAACAAAATTATAACCAAATAAACAGATAAACCAGTGACAATTCTGCTTCTATTCGTATCAAATTCATTAAAATCAAACCAGAATTGACCCCACAATATTTTTTGAAAAACCATAGTTTTGAATGAAATTCACAGTGTAGCGTAAAATTGTAGGTAACGAATAATTATATTGCATGTGAATTTGTGTGTTGAACAAGAAAGACGTTGGCATGTCCGTTTTTATGCAATTGAAAATTTTATGATGTTTTATATTTTATTATTTATGTAAAAAGTATAAAAGATACTAAGGGGTAATCGACAACTAGTACAACATAATGAACATTTATAAGCCGAAGGCGAAGAAAAAGCCAACAGCAAAAAAAAAAAACCCATCAGATTCCGTCCACAAAACATTACACACTCAGAAACTAAGAATTGAGCACTATTACATTTATCTCAGAATAAGTAAAATATATGTCATCCAAATCTCAGTTTTCAAGGTGCAGAAAATAAACAGGTGTCTTCTATTCCGTCGGCAATTTTTGGGGAAAGTAAAATCTAAATTTAGAACCATGGTTGAAACTGAAACTACACATGTATGATAAAAATAGAACGTGTTATTTTTTCTTTATCAAATTCCAATTTCGAAGGGATAGCGAAATATGTTTTCTTTTGTTGTGCTTTTGTGTATCATTCGGCAGTAGTATAAGGTAGGGGAAGAAGGGGTAGGGGTGAAGAAAATAAGGTCTACAATGTCGGGGCTTTTTATAACCGACTATACGATATGAATTTTTCTCATTGTTGAAGGCCGTATGGTTGCCTATAATAATTGCTTACATCCACGTCATTTAAGGTAGCTGGGGTGTCTAAATGTTGGACGATAAATTTTTCTTAAACTTCTGCAAAAGACTTCTGGGTCAATGTAATTTCAAATTTCAATATAAAAACTGGGGATCACGGACCTTGTTTTTTTCGTAATAACACATTGAAATTAACGAAATTTGGGTTATTTTATATTGTTAATATAGGGGAAACTTAAGTTTTCCTTATTGCGGAAACATTAAACGATAGAATTGGCTAAAATTCGATGAGAAAATTGCTTTTCATTAATAACTCCGAAATATCAAATAAAAATAGGGGGTCACGGACCTTATTTTCTTGAAAAAATCCCCAAAAATTTTAAATATACTTTACGACACTTAATTTTTTGATAGTTCAATCTTTAAATTTCAAGTTTTAGGTATTTTGTTGTATATTAAATGATACTTGGTAAAATATTTTTAAAACAAAAAAGTATTTTTGCAACATGATCAGAACGGACGCTCAGAAAAAGACACCCGATCTACCTTAAACTGTGGCAGATAGTTGTCTCATTTGCAATCATACCACATCTCCTTATTTTCATATTATATTAACAAAACTGCAATTCATTTGCATTATATACAGGGACAAGTTATATCAAAAACTCCGATCTGTTTTACTTTGCTTAAATTCATATGCGTGTTCTTCTTTTGATCTTATTACAGCCATAAAAATTCTCAAGATAATATGCAGATGCAGTTTTCTTATTTTTTGGGAGTCGTGCATGTGGATATTCAACAAATAATGGTACAAGAAATTATTTCCTTTTTTACTTAAAATCTCCAGCAAACATTATATTATGCTTTGTCGTGTAGTTAAAGAAAAGGGAAAGCGATCGAGACAGGAAATTTTTAAAATAAAATTGCAGAGTTGTGTCACGTGCACGTGTGTGAACCGCAGTGTGAACCTGACAAATAAAATGGGTTTTGTGCGCAATACCTCGAATAGGGCCGGAAATGGTGAGGATGAAAAGATGCAGCAAATTATATACACTTTTTTAAAATACAAACATGCAGAAATAAGATTTTAAAAAAGACGTGTATAAGCGATCCCAATATATTAACCGATTATTTAAATACGTATAGAATCATTCTGTCAACGCTGTGTTTACCGGGACAATTTCAAACTTGATATTTGATTCATAATTATTAGAACAATACAATATAAAAATAAGAAGATGTGGTATGATTGCCAATGAGACAACTCTCCACAAGAGTCCAAATGACACAGAAATTAACAACTATAGGTCACCGTACGGCCTTCAACAATGATCAAAGCCCACAGTCAGCTATAAATACAAGCATTTCAAAAAAGATGTGGAACCCTGTCTAATTAAGAAAAGATGGAGTTAAAGTCTATACCGTAACTTTCTTTCACTTGCAGTATATTTATTTGCCAATTTGCCTTTTTTTTGGCAGCAGAAATATCCGTAAAAAATACTCAGTTTATTTCCTTATCAATTGATTACGCTTGAGCATTTGCAATAATTAGGAAAATGGGTTATAAATAATTCGTAAATATAAATCAACATGTAGACATCTTATACGTTCAGGTATTTCACATCCAATATTTTATGGTAATATTCTTTACAAAGCACAAAAATGTCGGCATTCACCTCAAAAGCTAACCAAAACTTTAAACAGACTTATTCGGAAAGGATATAGTTACGATACTGTTGTCAGGTCATTAAGGATTGCATATTTTGGTATTAATATTGATTCACTCATAGGGTCTTTGCATCGGAAATAAACACTATTATTCTAAAACCAGTTGTTGGCATGATACGGGTTATGTTCTTCTCATATTTTTTATGATTGTATGTTACTAAACCCCTAACGGGAGGGATTGTACTTGATTTTCATATGATGAAGACATACTCTTTCAATCAGTTTAATTGAGGTCTGGAGCTGGCATGTCAATAACTGCTAGTAGTCCTTTGTTAATTTATGTATCATTGTCTTTTTGTTTAGTTTCTTTTGTTACCTATTCTGACATCGGTCTCGGGCTTCTTTCAAACTGAGTTATACTGTGCGTATTGCTATGTGTTTCTTTATTCTACATTGGCTAGAGGTATAGGGGAGGGTTGAGATCTCACAAAACATGTTTAACCCCGCCGCATTTTTGCGCCTGTCCCAAGTCAGGAGCCTCTGGCCTTTGTTAGTCTTGTATATTTTTTTAATTTTAGTTCATTTATATGTTTTGGAGTTTAGTGTGACATCCATTTTCACTGAACTAGTACACAATTTTATTTAGGGGCCAGCTGAGGACCACCTCCGGGTGTGGGATTTTTCTCGCTGCGTTGAAGACCCATTGGTGGCCTTCGGCTGTTGTCTGCTCTTTGGTCGGGTTGTTGTCTCTTTGACATATTCCCCATTTCCATTCTCAATTTTATACACACTCACGATTTTGTTTCGACACTGTACGGTATAATAGCGTTATAGAGTTATATCTAGTAGAAATTGTGATGACGTTACAGTAGACATCAATAACGTCGCCGAATGTTTATTATTCTTTCTGCTAAAAATCAAACTTCCACAGGATATAGCTTGAAAACTAGCACGGTTGCTAAGGACTTTCTTTGCACCAATGGGTTCGTCGTTCATTTTTGAATCGCATATCGATTTTTAAAAAAATTCTGTGGACCAACGAATTAGAAAATCTTGATAAAGTAAAAATATCTGCCGATTTTTATGATTTTCCCTATATATCCTTTGTATTTTTGGCGTATCATGCTGTTAATTTCAACAGCTTGTATCTAAAAAACGAAAACGGTTACCCCCTTTTTTTATTTTATTGTCTGATTTATTTTTTCAAGCAGAATCCACATGTAAAATTAAAAAAAATTCTGTGGAGTAGTTAATTACGTACACTTCGCCTTAAGGTAGATAGGGTGTCTTCCTCCATCTGGGATTTTGAAATACCAGAAAACAATCGGTCTAGATCTTTAATAAAATGTGCAAATTTTGAGAGTAGTAGGAAATGCATGTGTAAGAATTTTGATTTTAATATAGAAAATGACATGTTTTATCATATTTATAGTTGTATTTTACAAAAAACAGAATACTTCTTGTTTGATTAAATTTTTTCCAACTTTACCATATAAGGGGAGGCAACTCAAATGTAAGGGCAGACAATTCAGATAAAGTTACTTTTACAATAGAATGTGTTAGGAATTTACCTATTTTATTATGTTGCAAGAAAACGGGTCCCGTGACCCAATTTTTTCTTTTTCTTATCTGAAAGCACAATATTGGAGCTATCTTCTCATATTTTATCTCAAAATTCTATGGTGTAGTTTTCATTTTATGGCAGAAAATTGGGTTTTCCATGCATAATCTATACAAAATCTGTCAATTTTGCACAACCTGTAGCGTGAAAATAAGCCCCGTGACCCATTTTTTTTATAATTTTTTTTTCCAAAAGCATGACATAAACTACATTTTGGCAAATTATTAAAAAATTCTATGGATTATAATTTAGGCACCCCATCTACCTTAAATGGAATGTAATTGATTTAAAAACATTTTTAGGAGTAATTTTATTCTTTATCTTCAGATGATCGTTGTCAGTTACCATATGATGTAGGACCATGTAAGGGTAACATTCCAAGGTGGTATCATGATGTTAGAAGAGGAGAATGTTTGGAATTTGGATGGGGAGGCTGTGAAGGAAATCTAAATAACTTTATTGATAAAGAGACATGTCTGTCTAACTGCTCCAGCATTGTTATCTCTAGTAGTAAGTCATTTATCAGATTGTTGTGTTATTTGTCTGTCTAAGTGCTCCAGCATTGTTATCCCTAGCAGTAAGTCATGCATCAGATTGTTATGTTATTTGTCTAAGTGCTCCAGCATTGTTATCCTTAGCAGTAAGTCATGCATCAGGTTGTTATGTTATTTTTCTGTCTAACTGCTCCAGCGTAGTAAGTCATGCATCTGGTTGTTATGTTCTGACATTGGTAGTCATATGCTGATTTAGAGCTCTTCATTTGTTCTTTTGGATAAATATCCAACACATATTTCATTAAGACTGATTGATGCTGTTATTTCAAACCTGGTCCAAGCCAATGCAACTCATGATGTGGGTTTTAGCCCCAATTGAATACTGTAAGTTCAGAAATTATTGTGAGGTTTTTATTAATGCAGATAATGCAACTGGGTGAGTATTCCAATTATAAAAACCTCGTTCTAATATTTGATACACATAACTGTATGCAGATTTTCCTGAAATCGCAATAATTAATCTCACAGATTTGTCCCTTCTTCAAAGATCGCAATAATATATGCAAGCAATAATTTCTGAATTTACAGTAGCTATACTAGAAATCATATTACACCATACTATTTTCCATTATAAAATTTCCATCACGTATATTTTATCAACTAAATCCTGCAATATTAATTATTTTTTTACCATCCTTATGAACAGTGAAATTTTGACCTATTGCATATATTACGTCCTAGTTTATGACTTATGAAAGAAGTGTTCATTTTATGGAAAAAATAAATCTTAATACATTTTAAAAAAAATAATGTAATTTCCTTAACCCTGATGAAAGGATATCACATGAACTCAGAAATATTTATTATATTTTATCAAAAAAGATTAGTTAAATATGATTTGGAATAAGTATACTTTAGATTTGACAGGTGTTTGTACTTGGGATGTAATTTTAAGTTAAAAAAAAGTTCCTTTGATAATTGATCAAATCAGGTTCATTATCAGTCTAGCATCTTTATCGTTTAGATCTCGAAATTGAAAATTACTATGAAAACAAATGTAGGAGAGAAGCTAAAGGTACCAAAGGGGTATTCAAACTCATTAGTCGAAAACGAACGGACAATGTCATTGCAAAAACCAAAAGACAAACAACAGTTTATTATTGTCCAGCCTGCGAAATTTATTTCACGAAAGTGAGACATAGCGATCCTAGATTCCATTGTCAGCATCGGCATCGTCAACATTTAGGTTCAGTCTATGGACATCAATAATTTTGTCAAACCTACATGGAATTAGATGACATTTGGACAGAAGCGTGTTTATGACCAAAATACAGTATCCAGAGCAACATTTTGAAAATATTCATTTTCATTTTTCCGTATTTTACTGATAAATGGACTTAGTTTTTTTTACAGTTAACATTCATATTCAGTCTAAGGTTAAAGTTTTTCAGTCATCAATAACTTTTTCAAACCTTCAAGGAATTTGATGAAATTTGGACAGAAGCTTGTTTATGACCAAAATACAGTATCCAGAGCAAAGTTTTGAAAATATTTGTTTTCATTTTTCCGTATTTTTCTGATAAATGGACGTTTTTTCACACTTATAGCATTCAGATTCAGTCTGAGTTTAAAGTTTTTTAATCATCAATAACTTTGTCAAACCTTCATGGAATTTTATGAAATTTGGACGGAAGCTTGTTTATGACCAATATACAGCATCCAGAGCAAAATTTTGAAAATATTTACTTTCATTTTTCCGTATTTTTATGCCCCACATAGGGGCATTTTGTTTTTCGGTCTGTGCGTCCGTTTGTCCATCCGTCTGTCCCGCTTCAGATTAAAGTTTTTGGTCAAGGTAGTTTTTGACGAAGTTGAAGTTGAAGTCCAATCAACTTGAAACTTGTTCCACATGATCCCTATGATATGATCTTTCTAATTTTAATGCCAAATTAGAGTTTTGACCCCAATTTCATGGTCCACTGAACATAGAAAATAATAGTGCGAGTGGGCAGGTTAAAGTTTTTGGTCAAGGTGGTTTTTGATGAAGTTGAAGTCCAATCAACTTAAAACTTAGTACACATGTTCCCTATGATATTATCTTTCTAATTCTTATGCCAAATTAGAGTTTTGACCCCAATTTCATGGTCCACTGAACATATAAAATGATAGTGCGAGTGGGGCATCCGTGTACTATGGACACATTCTTGTTTTCTGATAAATGGACTTTTTTTTACCTTTAACAAATAGATACAGTCTGGGGTTAAAGTTTGTTACACATCAAATACTTTGTCAAACCTTCATAGAATTTTATGAAACTTTTTTATGATTAAGAGATAATGTCTTAAGCACACTTTTGAAAATATATTTTCATTTTCAGTATTTTTCTGATAGATGGACTGTTTTTACAGTTAACATTTACTGACAGTCTGGGATTACATTTTTTTGACATGATAAGTTTGTTAACCTTCATGGATTGTTATGAAACTTGGACAGAAGCTAATCTTCAAGACCAAGAAATAGCATCTAAGGAGAAAGTTTGAATCTTTTTTAACATTCTGTATTTTACTGATAAATGGACTCACTTTTTAAGTCTACATTACACTTTTACACTGACAGCAGCAATCGTAGGCAAGACACAGGGTTCCGCGGAACCCCTTACAAATTTTTAATCAGTTGATTAACTTTGATGTCATTTCTTTTGATAGGTATTTTAAGGATGAATTTTAAAAGCTTGGTCATAATCAGATCAGTAGAAGACTATAGTTGCTCTTAATATTAAAAAGAATTATTCTTTGACCTTTAGACTAAAGGATTCTCTAACTTGCTTACACCATTCACATTGGAGATGTGATATGCATTTTAAACTGTAGAAAGTACTCATTATATTATTCATTCAAAATTAATTTGTTTGTATTTACTGTTAACAATAGATCTAAGTTTGACTTGGTTAAACATGTAAGTACGCTCATAGATATTTTTGACAAAATTGATATGCCTTTAGTCTGCACACACTATATTCTTTCTATTTTATTTTTCTTGAATGTTTTTAGCAACAGATGTATGCAGACTACCAAGTGAAACTGGTCGTTGCCGTGCCTCAATACCTCGCTGGTTTTATGATTCTAATAATGGTCAGTGTAGACAGTTTACATATGGAGGCTGTGAAGGAAATCAAAATAATTTCGACACTCAACAAGAATGTGAATCCATGTGTAGCAGACAGCGTAAGTAATTAGATAAGTAATAGTTTATACTGATTTCCCTTAGTCTTATGATAAGTCTGATTTATAGTATATTTGACCTAGTAAAAATTTGCATTTTGTCAGTTAATTTCATATTTGACTAGTATTTGGCATTGCCATAGTTCAGTTTGGTAAACTTGAAATCTTATGTTTATTATAGCCCGTTTTTTTATGTCGGTTGTGGGAAGTAATTAGGATGTCTGTCCATTTATCCTTTTGTCATACTTTTGTATCTACTGCTCCAGAATGGCTGACAGAATTTTAGTGAAATTCTGAGAATCTTGATCCCAATATGTACTATTACACTTCCGATTTCATTTCTTTATCGGACTGTTTTTAGTGTTTTACGGTTCACTTAGCATAACCTGTCATAACAACACACTACAGTATACATTTTTATTTGCTCCTAAGCACCTTATTAGAATGAAATTTTATCAGAATCTATACTATATAATGGACCATCATCCAAACATCTGTGATGTGATGGATGAAGGTCATTATATGAGGAAGCCAAGGGCTTCCGAGGGTTAATAGTACCCTCCCTAGTGAATACCCATTCCGGATGAGGTTTGATATAAATGCAAATACTGGTCGTGTTACTACCCATTTACACTGGAGATTTTACTGTTTGCCTCAAAATAAAAGAGGATACTACTCAGGTCACCTGGCCTTATATACTACCTGGACATACAAAAAATCACTCAACTGTAAAATAGGCGTGTGGCTGGCACATAATAAAAGGTTCACTATTAACCCGAGTCAAGCCCGGGTTATGATATATAATGCAATTGTGCACTTACTTCTAATAATTGTCTTTCAGGGGTATGTCAGCCGTATGTAGAACCTTCAATACAGTGTCTAGCTTACATCAAGAGATATAGATATGCTGCTGAGACTGGAGACTGTGAAGAATTTATTTATGGTGGTTGCCATGGCAACTCCAACAACTTTGAGACAATGGAAGCCTGCAGGGGGAAATGTGCTCCTGGAGTAACAGACCCAAAAACTTATGATAGTATGATTATTTTAATAACAAATTTTGATGCATAGTTCTTTTAGCACGGTTATATAAATTTCTCTAGTACATACTTATACTTGGATTCAGTAGGTCGGATGATTAATGTTTTGTAAAATTTATAGAATTTATAATGTATAGGAAACTTGAAACAAAACATTAATTGGTCTTGATATTTTATTTTACTGTACATGCATCCAAGAAAAAAGTCATTGGTTCATAATGGACATTATCATAAACGACTTTCACGTAGATTAAAAGAAAGACATTTTTTACCTTATTTGAGTAGCTGCTTCAATTTATCCATTGATTGATTGATACTTTCTTAACACTATCATTAACTGTTTTAGTTGAATCATTTACCCTATGTATTTATGTAATCATTTGATAACTTTACTTTCAATGATATAAAAGAACCTTTTGATTGAAATAGTCCTTTATAACTTTAGAATTATTTGTGTTTGTGAATGTTCAGATATTTGAATAAAAGGGTATTGCTATAGGGACACAGCATGAAAAAAGGGAAATTAATTATGAATTGAAAGGAAAAATCAAACTTTAATATTTTTCTCATGAGTGTTTTTATGGAAAATGTTTTTTACCAAATACTTTAGATATATGTGCCTTACGAACTGAGGCAGGCAAGTGTAGAGGAAGAGATATTAAATGTTTTTCAACAAATTCTTTAGATATACATGCATTATGACCTGAGGCAGGCAAGTGTAGAGGAAGAGATATTAAATGTTTTTTACCAAATTCTTTAGATATATGTGCCTTACGACCTGAGGCTGGCAAGTGTAGAGGAAGAGATATTAAATGGTTTTATAACAGTACATCAGTAAGGTGTGAGAGGTTTTACTATGGAGGTTGTGATGGTAATCCTAACAGATTTGATTCTGAGGAGGAGTGTGATAGCTTCTGTAATAATGAAGGTTCAGGGGAAGTAACTATTGTGGATCCTGACAAAACTGTTGATAGTTGTAAGTTTGTTAATTGTAAAGATATATCTTTTACTTTTTGGAAAGAGTGAAACTTGATCAAGCTATTCTTGATTATGTGTGACTTTTTTTGAGGAAATATTTCAATTTTTGTTAGTTATATTATGTTTGTTATTAGTGTGCAAATATTTGGGAAATTCAATAGGCTATCTTTTAAAAGATAAAATTTTTTGATGTAAACAGAATAAGTTTTCATTATTTATAGCTAGAGAATAAGAAAACTCGTAAAATTATGAAATCCTTAAAGTATTGTGACCTCTTCAAAATATTATCTTTCATGGAGGAGATTTATAAGAAATAAGACAGTCTCAAACATTGATGATGTTAACTGATATGAGAATATATAAGTAAAAAGATATATATGTTACAGCCTATTGTCATTTACCAAAAGAGAGTGGAGATTGTGAGAATTCTTTCCCAGCCTGGTATTATGATCATTTAGATGGTGTGTGTAAAGAATTTGATTTTGGAGGATGTGGTGGAAACAAAAATCGTTTTACAAGTAGAGATGTGTGTGAATCATCTTGTAGCAGAGAAGGTAGAGCTATACTTAGTTTATATCCTTGTTTAAGTTCCACTTTTAATACAAATGACCTCCATATCTTGAGTATCCTTAAGAGTTTATTTGTGATATTTGGTATGAGTGTTCACAACTATGATACTGAATTAAAACAAAAATGGAACTTCAATTAGGGTGGATTTTTAACCCCAGCCGAACGTCTTTATCCAGTTTTTCCCCCGTGAAAAATACACCTAAAAACACAAAAACTGCCATAATTTTGATACTGCATAGCACTCTATACCTTGTAAGAAAGATTAAACTTGTCCACAATAAACTTTATTTTAAACAATAAAAGACAAACTGATATGCTGAGCCTTCATAAGGTGTCTTCTTCTGATAGGTATCTAACTTGTAATTCAATTGAATAATCGTGCATATTGATCTATTTACAGCTGTTTGTAGACTACCTCCAGTAACAGGAAGATGTAGGGCCAGTTACCCTAGGTATTATTATGATCTAAGAACTGGACGGTGTACACAGTTTACCTATGGTGGATGTGAAGGAAATGCTAATAACTTCAAGACCAGAGAGTCCTGTGGAAGCAAATGTGGAGATGGTATGTATTTTGTTTACAGAAATTAGATATCATTTGACACTCCATAGAATCACGTTATTTTTTCATGATATGTAATATACACAATTATAAGCAACTTTTCTCAAAGCAATCTGTGCTTTAATTTCCTTTGTTAATGTTTCTAAGCCTTTTATCCTTTCAAGAAAATGAAAATTCATGTTGTTGTTCTCAGTTAAGAATCATAAATAAACACATTATTTTGTTAAAACATATTGTCATTAATGAAAGTAAAAACATCCTGAGTAATACTATTAACAATATCACTTACAGTAAAAGGTCCATGTCATTTTACAGACTTTTCAGATTTAGATGTATTGATTCCTGCTGCCTTTGTAAATCCATTTACACCTAGAAATGTCACAGCTGTGTTTTACAATGGTGGCATTAATGTAACCTGGAAGGCCCCTCTTGATGTCTTCCACCACTTTACCCATTATATTGTTCAAATAAAGGCCCAAAACTCTGATTGGAAAGAAGTCCCAGAACGTGTATACCCTCCCACAACTTCTTATTTTACACTGGATGTTATTCCGAGCACACTCTACGAATTAAGGGTCTATGCTGTTGATGGAGAAATATATAGTGACCCAAGTGATGAAGTTGTGGTGTCGACAGCAAGTGGTCAGTTTGCACGAAGTGAACAATTACCTGAAATAGAAAAGCTTAATAACGATTTTTATTTGCAAAATTTTAAATGTTCTGTTCTATTTGTATGGTCAGAATTTAGTTTTTATTGTCCCTACACCAACAAATTTAATAATAGTACACCTATTAGATAGTTTGTTACACATCTCCGTGTTTTGCAACTAGGTAGTTATATTAGATTTATACAAAAGTCTTGTCACCTCTCCTTGCTTTAACAATGTTTCTGATTTTTTCTTCCATGTTTAATTTTTCTCTTTCATTTATAATAAAGTGTCCTGTTTCAGCACTCACTATTTCAAATTAAATACACATCTTTTCTACCCTTGGTATTTTAATAAAAATATTTCTATATACTGTATCTATCTATTGAATTTAACACTTCATCTTTACAGAAGTAATGATTTTCACTAATTCATTCATGATAATGTGAACAAAACAACTGCAGAGCATATCCATAAGTATTTGTCCCCTACGATTTTTTGCTATATATTTCATATGATAATAAGTTTCTTCAAAAAATTATTTTGAGGCATTTATGGTTGGATTTTAAAAAATGTGTTGAAAGACACAGAATTGTCTGAAGTACAGTTTTTTATTTGATCATAATCCTGCCTTCAGTTGTTTTTGTTTTCTATTGTGAACATGTCTTAAACAAAAATTAAAATTTAGTTTGGTTGAAATATAAAGCAAATTTCAGGGAGAAAAATTATACTTGTCTTTATATCATCAGAACATGAGAAGAATTCACATATATATAACCTAATAATCAAAGTAACTTGTGAAAATTCTGTTTATGTTGGTACGGAGTTGATTTAAAGGGGCATTAGCTACAATTTTGACGAAAAAATAAAATACGATTTTCTTTATTTCAAACATTTATTAAAGTGTAATTGTGAAATAATATTTCGCTATCTAAGCAGTCAGTTTGATTCAATTTCGTCAAAATAAGGTCAAAAACATTGGTAATGTATTATTGGCTTGCAAGTAGATAGTTCAACTCATTTGAATACATATTTATCCGACCTTTAATCTAACCCTCAGCTGGAGATGGGTCTAGCTTAAAATACATGGGAAATGCTGATCCATTATTATAAGGATTCCATGCATTGTAAATTGTTTCTTATGGAGTTTTTACAATTTGAATATATGTTTTAGTATGTTATAAATCAGATTTGAGAATTTGAGTCAAATCGCTGAACATGAATTTGATAGCTAATGCACCTTTAAATCCATCCAGAAACAACCCCATAATGATTTTTTATATGAAATATATAGCAACAAAATACAGGGGACAAATACATATGGCTAGGTACTGTACATCTGTTTAATCCTTTTCATTAAACATATTTCGTATTCAACTTAGACTTGTTTATCTTATCTTTTCCTTTCTCTTTCAATTTTGTTTTTTTCTCATTTTTCTTTTCTTAATAACAACACATTTGAAACCCTGTTATGAACAACTAACATACATATCTTAATACTATCACCATTCCAATGCTTTATTGTAGATTAGATTAAAAAATCATCATTATCAACATAAATTGTATTTACTTTTTTCTTTTGATCTGTAGATATATAACTTCATTTTCATCCATATATATATACTCTTATCACAATACTAATTAAAATACATAAAACTATATCCGAAAAATTAAAGTTTAAAGATCTGAAATTGATGTTAATACTTTAAAATTGTCTATCATAAAGAGGTTGAAAATTCTGATTAAAGGGATACACAAATTTTTTATTCATTGACTAAATGTTTATTTTGTACAGCATATACTCCAGATGTTACAATCCAGCCACCTGTAGTAACAGAACAGTGTAGACAACAAAAGGATTATGGGGATTGTAATGGTCAGGAAGTCATGTACTATTTCGACAATACAATCAATGATTGTCGTCCTTTCTGGTATTCTGGCTGTGGAGGAAATAAGAATAGATTCCAGAATTCTACACGTTGTAGAAGAGTTTGTAGAGATGACTTTACTAATGAAGTAATTCCTGTGACACCAGCTCCAAGACCAACAACAACCACTCCTGTACCTACTATAGATACTAATGTTGTTATAACAGGTAAATTACCTAAGATAAATACTAATGTTGTTTTATTAAAGAAGTAAATTACCTATAATAGATAATAATGTTGTTATAACGGGTAAATAACCTACACTGAATACTCATGTTGTTATAACAGGTAAATTACCTACGATAAATACTAATGTTGTTTTATTAAAGAGGTAAAATACAAGGTACAAACACCTCTCACCAGGTATTTAAGGTGGCTGGGGGTGTCTTCCTCCATCTTGGATTTTAAAGTAGCAGATGACAATTGGTTTTGATCTTTAATGAAATGTGCAAATTTTGAGAGTAGTATGTTATTCATGTGTAAGACTTTTCATGTTAATATAGAAAATTATGTGTTTTAACATATTTACTGCTGTAAATTTCTAAAAAACACAATATTTTTGTTTGATTCATTTTTTTTCAACTTTGCCACATAAGATGAGGTAACTCAGATAGTAGGGGAGATAACTCAGATAAAGTAATTTTTATAATAGAAAGTGTTGTGAATTTACCTATTTTAATATGTAGCAAGAAAACCAGTCTGGTGACCCCATTTTTTCTTTTTCTTATCTGAAAGCATATTATAAGAGCTATCTTCTCTTATTTTATCTTAAAATTCTATGGTGTGGTTTTCTTTTTATCACACAAAATTGGATTTTCCATGCATAATCTATACAAAATCTGACAATTTTGCAGAACCTGTAGCGTGAAAAAAGTCCAGTGACCAATACATTTTATTATATTTTGGAAAAAAGTATGATAAAAACTACATTTTGATAAATTATTATAAAATTCTATGGATTGATTTTACATTCATGATATGCTTTCCATAAAAGTTCTTGTTATTAAATCTTTGAAGACCCAATTATGAATTTTATTCACCAGCTTATCATGAAAATGCAATAAAATAATTACTGTTAAAACGATATAGGTGATGAATGTGAAGAGGATAGTGAGAGAGGTACATGTACTAACTATACTGTTAGATGGTACTACAACAGAGGAGATAAACGTTGCACACGATTCTGGTACGGTGGATGTGCTGGAAATGGCAACAGATTCGTTACTGAGGCAGATTGTGAAAAAAGGTGCATCAACAAAGGTAATTAAACCAAGCATGATTGTACATCATTATTATAGTTCCTATTGTGGTATGGTGGTATGGAACTTTGATTAACAAACCTGTTCTATAATAGTAAATGATTTTTATTAAAATTGGGACTTTGTTGAACCGTATTATGATGATGGAATCTTCCCATCCTGACATCAACATTTAATTTGTTACTTATTTTTTTTGGGGGGCAAATTGAACATCGAAACTGAAAAAAAAAATCATTTATTACTGGAGCATGTGCTTCTTTGTTAAAAGATTTAAACTATTTGAAAGCATGTGAATGATTTGACAATCTTCTATGTTATTCTGAATATTTAGTTTCTATGAATGTTTATCAAATATTTTCATATCTTGTTTTCACTTTGAAGTTAGAAGTACTAATAAAAACAATACAAAATTTAAATTGCATGTCAGCTGTTCCAGAAGAAATATAAGACATTTTTTTTCTACTGTGTTTGAGCTTTTTCGTGATCCTCTTTTCATACATGCAGGATGTTGGAAATTATTATCATTGCATTTGTTTACATATTTTATTAATCGAAAAATTACTTTTCAGTCACATATTGATTTTTGGAACAGCTTTCTTGTTTTTAATTTCTACCTTTAGCCTTGTGTGTCTATTTCAAGTTTTTTTATTCTGTTGTTTAGTTATAGCTTGTTTCTGGTCATTGCAAGAAGTTGTAACAAGAAGGAAAAGGCATGTTAATAAATAGGTCGTATATGAACACGAAAAGGTCAAATATGAACATGAAAAGGTCATATATGAACATGAAAATATTATTGAATAAGTCATATATAAAGATGAGAAGATAACTTATAGAGAATTGATCACTTCTGAACTTCTTATACACTGACGGCAACTCAATTCAAGCTAATAGATTTTTAAATTCTGTTTTGAAATACTGATCATGTCAAATGTTAAACTGGTCAGTTTTCGAGTGGTGAAAAAAAATGCCTTTTAAATTCTCAGTACAATTATATCTTGTAATGACTTTGGATTTTGTTTCTTGACATTCAAACATTGTTCTAAAGTGTATAAAACAATTGACAGCACATCTGTTCTTTAGAGTTACTTAATTTTGGTCTGTAATGAATAAGAACAATGTTTGATTGTATTTGTTTTAAACTGTTTTATGATTGACATGTTTTTCAATGTCAGATGAGAATTGTAAAAACTTTTATACCTTTTATACCTTGTAAATCGGTATATATTGATAAGTTGAAATAATGTACAATTAGGTTATTTTTTTTTGTTATCTCCGATGTCATTCTTCAATGATGTTTTAATTTTCGTGTAATTTTTCTTTGAACAGAATGTGTTAATAACTGAATTACTGTAAACTCAGATATTTTTGCGTTAATTCATTATCGTGATTTTTGAAAATCGGTAAACAATGTGTGTTTCATTATTGCAATCTCTGGAGCTGCATCCAATAATCCTGTTAAGATGTAAAATTTGAGTTTTTATATTTGTAAGACCTAACTAGCTGAATTTTTCACCACCTCAAAACATGGAATAAATGCAAAAATTTCTAAATCTACAGTAAATGAAACAGTATTTTTTTTTTGTTTGAATTTACAAACTTTTCAAAGTAATACACACAAATCTTTCTCATCTGACATTTAAATCTAACCCTTTGCATGTTGTTAGGAATATATCCTACAGCCCGTCCTACTTTGAGACCTCGTCCAACCTATAGACCGCTTCCCCAGAGGCCATGTGACAATTCACCATGGGGATGTTGTCCTGATGGAATCACTGAAGCTCAGGACTTTTACTTCAGTAACTGCAGAGGTAAAATAAATGACCTGAGTACTGATATAATGTGTCTGTAAATGATGAAAGATGGTATTGGAGTATTTATTCAACTTGGATTGAAAATGAGTTTAATTGATTGGTTTAAATTTTTACCAAAATAATACAATTTTGATGCCAAAATGAAAGTTATTTGTAGGACTTCTTATTCAAATAAAGAAATTTATATGATTTATATTATGGAAATATAACAGGTGATATTTGGTCAATTAAAAAAAACAAACTTTGATTTAAATGCTTGAATGTAATCTTGGTGTAATCAAGGATATACAGAATTTTACACCGATTTAAAATTCAGTATACCCCTTTCCTTTACTCATTTTATCAGTTGGGTGTAAAATTGAAAAATGCTTATGAAGAACTTCCACTACAACATTGTTTTCAACACCGAAGTTGCTACGCATTGTCATATAAAAGCTATTTTAATTTTTCTTTATTTTTGAGAACGAAAAGAATTTTTTTTTTTTATATTGGAAAAAACATTTTTTGGTTGTTGTAATTTTGCATCTATTTCTAAATTTTGGCAAATTTTGACAAAATGTTATCCCTGTGTGACACATATTCTTTGTGATATATTTTTTTATCATGCTACTCGCTTTAGATAGGAAATTACACTAGTATCTAAGGCCTCTTAGCAACAGCATATTTTTTCTCAGTTGAGAGAAAGAGAATGTATGATGACATAAGCCTACGTCATTGACATAGCCTAGGAAAACAGCAATAAACATATTATCAATGGTCATTCAAACTCAAGGATGTTTCCTCGGCTACATCTAATCTCAGGGCTGAGGCCCTTCATGAGAATGGAGCTGAGAAACATCATTTTGTTTGATATACCAACAATAATCTATAATTATTTTCTTAAATTCCTGTTCTGTTGAAGCATGATACTTTATATAGGAGGCGTGTTCATGTTTAGTAAATGGCCGGTTGCAGGATATCTTGTGACCATGTGAACATACTAATTAGAGATAACAAAAATGAATATGAAATATGATTTGATTTTTATTGTTGAGTTCAAATTGATATAGATAATACCAATGTTATTTTTTTACTATTTTATTTACTTTTAAGAAAAAATAAAAGTCCTATGATTATGTTCCTATTGTTATATAAGTCCTTTGCTGAAATGATGTTTGTTATTTTAGTATATACTGGAACTGAATTGGGAAATTTAGTTGATGGAAACTCAACGGTTATTGTGGAACGACCAGATAGGAATCTATTTATAGAATGTGGAGGACCTCAGGGAACTGTTTCATGGTACAAGAATGGGTAAGTATTGAATACATTTGACTTTTAAACACCATGAGTTTGATAAGTACTGTAATCACTGCTAAGTCTGTGTAGTTTTTCTGCCTGTGACATTAAACATTTAAAATCTTTTTTTTTTTAATTTGAATGAAATACAAAGTTAAGTGCATTTTTTTAGCAAGTTTTAAAAAATGTCTGCATTTTTAATTACCAATCATTTGGAAAGAAAGAGTATATATCTCCCAATTGATACGATATTCCCGGGCTTGTGTTTCCTATCATGATTTCCTTGATAGAGGATTGCTGCTCACAAGGAAGCGATTAAGCCAAGAGTTCCAAATGGTGAAGTTGAAATCATCCCTTCGTAAATTATTACGGACGCCATCACGAGTTGGTTGACCGTTATGGAATAACCGTTTCACAGATGATATCGGATATGTTCCTTATGTCGTAACTACAATACCCTTCCCTTTTCACGAATGTGACTTACCGAATTAGACAATTTACCGGATTTGTAATAACATAAGCAACATGACGGGTGCCACATGTGGAGCAGGATCTGCTTACCCTTCCCGAGCACCTAAGATCACCCCTAGTTTTTGGTGGGGTTCGTGTTGCTTAGTCTATAGTTATCTATGTTGTGTCATCTGTACTATTATTTGTCTGTTTGTCTTTTTATTTTTGGCCATGGCATTGTCAGTTTGTTTTCGATCTATGAGTTTGACTGTCCCTCTGGTATCTTTCGTCCCTCTTTTAAACTAAGTATGTAGTATTTTCACCAAAAATTTTACGGAAACCTGTGACACTTTTCATATTTTATCAGACAACTGATATTATAGTAAGATAAAATTAAAATGTTACTGACTAATGCGTCAGCCACTACACACCATATTATCGCTATTTATTCCTATTTGGATAAGTTCTAAAATTACACAACTTTTCAAACCAGTTGTAACTATCTGGGGCCTTGTTCAAACAATGTATTGTGCATAAAACTTTTCATAGAAACATGTTTAAACCATCGTAAACACATCAAACAAAGCATTTTCAATGACTTTAGTTGACTTTTCAAAATTGCTTCTTAAACTATCAAAATTTTAAAATATCCATTTTCCAAACTTTTTCCTCCCTCAGCTCATTGTTGATAACCTTAGTTTTGTTTCCGCTTGACCTCAACAGGAAGTTTTCTAAGTAACTGTTTTTCCCGGATTGTACTAAATAGCTCGATAAGGTATATTGGCTGGTGGCAAGTTTTTATACGACCGCAAAAAAATTTTCTGGTCGTATATTGGTATGACGTTGGCATTGTCATCGTCGTCGTCTTCGTCGTCCGGCGTCGTTGTCGTCGTCCGAAGACACATTGGTTTTCGCACTCTCAAATTAGTTTAAGTGAATGGATCTCTATGAAATTTTACCACAAGGTTCAATACTAGAAAAGGAAGGTGGGGATTGATTTTGGGGGTTATGGTTCCAACAGTTAAGGGATAAGGGGCCAAAAGGGGCCAAAAATAAGCATTTTTGTAACTTCCAGACATAACTTGTGTGTTAGTGTATGGATCTCTCTGACATTGTACCACAAGGTTCCATATCACAAAGGGAATGCTGGGATTGATTTTGGGGGTAATTGCCTCCAAATTTTACAAATTAGGGGCCAAAAAGGGACAAAAAACAAGCATTTTTCTAGTTCATGACTATAACTTGTGTGTAAGTGTATGGATCTCTCTGACATTGTACTGCAAGGTTCCATATCACAAAGGGAATGCTGGGATTGATTATGGGGGTAATTGCCACCAAATTTTAGGAATTAGGGGCCAAAAAGGGGCAAAAACAAGCATTTTTCTAGTTTCATGACAATAACTTGTGTGTAATCGTATGGATCTTTATGAAATTGTACTACAAGGTTCCATATCACAAAGGGAAAGCTGGAGTTGAGTTTGGGGGTAATTGCCAAAAACGTTTAGGAATAAGGGGCCAAAAATAAGCATTTTTCTAGTTTCCAGACAATAACTTGTGTTCAAGTGTATGGATCTCTCTGAAATTGTACTGCAAGGTACCATAGTACAAAGGGAAGGCTGGGATTGATTTTGGGGGTAATTCCCTCAAAATTTTTGGAATTAAGGGCCATAAAGGGGCAAAAAAACAAGCATTTTTCTAGTTTCAGGACAATAACTTGTGTGTTAGTGTATGGATCTTTATGAAATTGTACTGCAAGGTTCCATATCAAAAAGGGAAAGCTGGGTTTGAGTTTGGGGGTAATTGCCCTAAACGTTTAGGAATTTGGGGCCTAAAAGGGGCCAAAAAACAAGCATTTTTCTAGTTTCCAGACAATAACTTGTGTTCAAGTGTATGGATATCTCTGAAATTGTACTGCAAGGTACCATACCACAAAGGGAAGGCTGGGATTGAGTTTGGGGGTGATGAATCATAAGGGGGTTCAAAAATTTGGGGGGGGATTTTTTTTTCCTTTTTTTTCTTTAAAATTTTCCATTTTAAATTGGTTATTTCTGATTTATATATAAAAGCATATAATAATGATATAGTTTGAATAGGTAAATTAAAATTTTTTAAGTTCTTAGACCACATTCATTCTGTGTCAGAAACCTATGCTGTGTCAAATATTTAATTACAATCCAAATTCAGTGCTGTATCAAGCTTGAATGTTGTGTCCATACTTGCCCCAACTGTTCAGGGTTCGACCTCTGCGGTCGTATCAAGCTGCGCCCCAGCAGAGCATTTTATTGTATGTTTATTTCAAATTTCAAATGGGTATAGCAAAATAAAACAATCTGTTTTGTCGTTTCTTATAGAATATTGATAACATCAGATCGTAGATACACAGTGTATGAGAATGGTTCTATATTAATCACAACACTGACTAAGGAAGATTCAGCAGTGTATGCTTGTAGAGTTGATGATGGAATTCACAAGGCTATCGTCAGAAGGTTTAGAGTCCAGATAGAAGGTAGAAATAATATATATTGATAATCATTTAAATAATAATAGTAATTTTAGTTTTCAAACAGTTTAAAATTCCAATCGGTTTTGAGTTTTGCAATAAGCTGCGTGATTCATAACAATATAGGAATAAATGTGCTATTAAAGTAGCACACACAAATGGTGCCCATAGAAATTTCTTTCCAAAGCAGATAAAAATGTTATCAAGTAGAAAAATAAATGGTTTCTGCATTTTGAATGATATTTAGGATAATTGTTTAAATAGAGGTTTATAAACATTGTTTGAAAACTCTGTTTTATGATTAATGTTATTAATGTATCTAAGCAGTTAGAATGGACTTTGCTCATTTTTAATCCAATGAAAATTAAAAAAAAACAAAAAAAACACATGCATATTGATCTTTTTATTTAATATAAAGTAATATTACAAACATAATTTTTTGTTGAACAGTATTTCAGAAAACTTAATTTCTTAAAGTAACTAATTCTTGACCAGTTGAATCGTTATATGTTTTTTTTTCAAACTAGGCTGGCTGGATTAGTTGAGTATTGTTTATGGTTCCATGGTTTCATTTTACATATTTGTTTAAAGCTGCATCCATTAGTCACTTGTAGACCATTGGTATTCAAACAAGATAAATACCAAAAAGAACTATGATGATACATAGTACAGTAAAGAAAAGTATATAATTAGCCTGTGATTACATATAATTTAATTGCCTTGTTACAGTTCCCATCACAATCTTCCCAACACCAGCTACTATTGTCGTGAGACCAGGAGATAATGCTTTCCTTCACTGCCAAGCCTATGGAAGTCCTCAGCCCACTATAACATGGACTAAGTCTGGTCAACGTGTAGCAAATACAGGCAGATTCTATGTTTATCCCAATGGTACACTAATCATAACTGATACTCAACAGGCTGATATTGATGATTATACATGTACAGCAAGAAATGGTCGGTCATCACCAGTACAGAGACTAGTTCGATTATCTTTACAAGGTAACATACAATACGATATCAACTAAATGTTTATATATAGTAATATTTTTAATAGACCACAAAAATTTCCTGTCGTGTAATGGTATGGAGATGTCATTGTCGTCAGAAGACATTTGGTTTCCAGACAATAACTTGAGTATAAGTGAACGGATCTCTATGAAATTGTACCACAAGGTTCAATATCGCAAAAGGAATGTTAGGATTGATTTTTGGGTTAAGTTATTGTCCTAACTGTTTAGGAATGAGGGGCCAAAATCAAGCATTTTTCTTGTTTCAGGACAATAACTTGTGTATAAGTGTCTGATCTCTATAAAATTGTACAACAAGTTTTCATACCTCAAAAGGAAGGTTTGGATTGATTTTGGGGGTTATGGCCCAAATTGTTTAGGAACTTGGGGTTGAAAAACACAGATTTTCTGGTTTCCGGACAATAACTTGAGTATAAGTCTATGGATCTCTAAGAAATTGTACCACAAGGTTCCATACCAAAAAAGGAAGGTTGGGATTGTTTTGGGGGTTATGGCCCTTTACCGTTGTGGAATTAGGGGCAAAAAATCAATACTACTATAGATATGCTGAATCTAACCATGTATTTAGATTTTGGATTTTGGGCCTCGTTTTAAAATTGGTCCACATTGAGGTCCTAAGGGTTCATAATTTAACTTACGTTTGATTTCAACAAAAATTGAATATATTGGGATCTTTGATATGCTGAATCTAACCAAGTATTTAGATTTTGGATTTTGGGCCCCATTTTTAGATTTGTTTACATTGAGGTCCTAAGGGTAAACAATTAAAGTTTGTTTGATTTCATCAAAAATTGATCGTCCTGAATATGCATGAAATATTTGCCACTGGACGTTAAGCAACCAACAATCAATCAGTCAATCAAAAATTGAATTATTAGGGTTCTTTTATATTTTGAATCTAACTGTGAATTTAGATTTTTAATTTTGGGCCCCATTTTCAAATTGGTTCACATTAAGGTCAATAGGATCTAAAATTAAAGCTAGTTTGATTTCAACAAAAATTGAATATATGGGGATCTTTAATATGCTGAATCTAACCATGTATTTAGATTTTGGATTTTTGTCCCTGTTACCAAATTGGTCCACATCGAGGTCCAAAATAAAACTTTGTTTGATTTCATCAAAATTTTAATTCTTAGGGTTCTTTGATATGCTGAATCTAACCATGAATTTAGATTTTGGATATTGCCCATAATAGGTAAATGTCCAATTTCAAATTTTTAAGTTCTAAACCACATTCATTCAGTGTCAGAAACCTATGCTGTATCAAATATTTAATCACAATCCAAATTCTGAGCTGTACCATCTTGAATGTTGTGTCCATACTTGCCCCAACTGTTCAGGGTTTGACCTCTATAGATGTTTCAAGCTGCACCCTGCAAAGCATTTTATCAAGGAATAATGTTGTTATGTGCATAGTAATTTATTGTCCTTGTACGAAAAGTCTCATAATTTGTTTGATTACTAATAAGAATTAAGATTTAGCAGTTTAAATACAGAGCATTGATAGCTGTAAGGTTGAAGGACTCTGAATTGACATGGCCAATCTACACTATAAACTCAGGAGCTTTAAAGAAATCTATCAAACTGAACACTTTATTGTAATTTGATGAAAAAAAAAATATGGCCACCTGGCAGAGGCATTTCTTTGGAAAAAAGTTTTCTTTTAAACAAAATTGTTAAATGATTAAAATGTTAAAGAAATTGTGTCTTAGACCTATGTGATAAACTTAAGCTGATGGAATTATGAATAGCCCAACAGTAAGCCATGTAAGCCAGCAGAAGTTAGTATTTTTTATATGCCTGTCAATGACTCATATATATTGTTAACCATTGTCCCTTTGTTTGTTCATTTACAATAACTGGTTTCTTTTTAACAGATCTTTATGAAATTTTTCACAATGTTTGGATCTTTGATGACAAGCTCCCTTTAGATTCAAATGATTACCGGTTTCTATTTGCAGATGTATAAGACTTTAATTGTTAAAAAGGGACAATTTATAGTATATCTCATCCTAAGGATTGCTTTAAATGGTCCGTACAAAATTTTAAAACAATTGATTAAAGATTTGTCATTTAGGAGTTATTGGAATCAGATTTAAGGCAATATTTTCACATGTTGTGCACTAGCTCAAGTATGCTTGGATCAAATTACTTCTTAGTTTATTTTTTATTGGGATTAGTGATTGTAAACTCCCCTTCAATTTTGTAAATTGTTAGATTTTCTGTTCCAGTTTTATGGGACTTAAATCATGATAATTTAAAGCATTTTTTATATCAGTAAGGATATCCATTTGAAAGTTTTTCTGTGAGGCCATTTTACTGATGTCTGATTGAATGCCTTCTACAGTGATTCATTTTATTCCTTCAATAATTTCAATAGTTAGACGATTGGTGTTTCCTGCACTCCTAGCTATTCTGTTCATTTATTATGGATTCCTTGTAGCATGGGTTACAAAAATGCAGACATGAGTATTGAAATGTTTATAAAATAATTTATCTATATATATTACATTGCTATCTATATTTGTTATACTAGTTTGTATTTTATTAATTTATTTGTCATTTTGAAGGTTTTTTATACGACCTCAAAAAAATTTTTGTTGTCGTATATTGGTATGACGTTGGCGTCGTCGTCATCCGAAGACACATTAGCTTTCGCACTCTAACTTTAGTTTAAGTGAATGGATCTCAATGAAATTTGACCATAACGTTCAATACCACAAAAGGAAGGTGGGGATTGATTTTGGGGGTTATGGTACCAACAGTTAAGGAATTAGGGGCCAAAAAGGGGCCAAAAATAAGCATTTTTGTAACTTCCAGACATAACTTGTGTGTACGTATATGGATCTCTCTGACATTGTACCACAAGGTTCCATATCACAAAGGGAATGCTGGGATTGATTTTGGGGGTAATTGCGTCCAAATTTTAGGAATTAGGGGCCAAAAAGGGGCAAAAAACAAGCATTTTTCTAGTTTCATGACAATAACTTGTGTGTACGTGTATGGATCTCTCTGACATTGTACCACAAGGTTCCATATCACAAAGGGAATGCTGGGATTGATTTTGGGGGTAATTGCCTCCAAATTTGAGGAATTAGGGGCCAAAAAGGGGCAAAAAACAAGCATTTTTCTAGTTTCATGACAATAACTTGTGTGTACGTGTATGGATCTCTGTGACATTGTATCACAAGGTTCCATATCACAAAGGGAATGCTGGGATTGATTTTGGGGGTAATTGCCTCCAAATTTTAGGAATTAGGGGCCAAAAAGGGGCAAAAAACAAGCATTTTTCTAGTTTCATGACAATAACTTGTGTGTAAGTGTATGGATCTTTATGAAATTGTGCTACAAGGTTCCATATCACAAAGGGAAAGCTGGAATTGAGTTTGGGGGTAATTGCCCAAAAAGTTTAGGAATAAGGGGCCAAAAAGAGGCAAAAAATAAGCTTTTTTCTAGTTTCCAGACAATAACTTGTGTTCAAGTGTATGGATCTCTCTGAAATTGTACTGCAAGGTACCATACCACAAAGGGAATGCTGGCATTGATTTTTGGGGGTAATTCCCTCAAAATTTTAGTAATTAGGGGCCATAAAAGGGCAAAAAAACAAGCATTTTTCTAGTTTCAGGACAATAACTTGTGTGTAAGTGTATGGATCTTTATGAAATTGTACTGCAAGGTTCCATATCACAAAGGGAAAGCTGAGTTTGACTTTGGGGGTAATTGCCCTAAACGTTTAGGAATTTGGGGCCAAAAAAACAACCATTTTTCTAGTTTCCAGACAATAACTTGTGTTCAAGTGTATGGATCTCTCTGAAATTGTACTGCAAGGTACCATACCACAAAGGGAAAGCTGGGATTGAGTTTGGGGTGATGAATCATAAGGGGGTTCAAAAAATTTGGGGGGGGGGGATTTTTTTTTCCTTTTTTTTCTTTAAAATTTTCCATTTTAAATTGGTTATTTCTGATTTATATATAAAAGCAAATAATAATGATATGGTTTGAATAGGTAAATTAAAATTTTTTAAGTTCTTAGACCACTTTCATTCAGTGTGAGAAACCTATGCTGTGTCAAATATTTAATTACAATCCAAATTCAGTGCTGTATCAAGCTTGAATGTTGTGTCCATACTTGCCCCAACTGTTCAGGGTTCGACCTCTGCGGTCGTATCAAGCTGCGCCCCAGCAGAGCATTTTATTAGAAACATCATTTATGAAATATATTATACAATGAATGATTGTCAACTTCAGATTCAGTATCAGCCAGAATTAAACCTGTTGAAGGAAGAATAAGAGAAGGAGATACTCTTTATATGATATGTGATGGACAAGGGTATCCCCCTCCTACAGTTAGATGGGAAAAAATGGGTGTAGAGCTGGTAACGACTGGTAGGATGACAGTTAATGGTGCTAACCTACGTATTACCAGTGTAACATTAGACGATACTGGAAGTTACACTTGTGTTGTTAATAATGCTGAAGAAAAATCTGAAGATTCTAAATCCATACAAGTTATACCTAAAGGTCAGTTAGGTTTGTCTGATTAAATCTATACAAGTTAAAATTGAGAATGGAAATGGGGAATGTGTCAAAGAGACAACAACCCAACCATAGAGCAGACTTAAGGCAATTTCATTTTAATTTTGCCTGCCAAATTTGTACAAGTCATAAATTAAGTTGCATATTTTGGCTCTCCTGTGAAATTTATTTTGTCATATCTTAGAAGCAATTATTTTTACATAGTAAAAATGGGATTAAAGCATGATTATGGTCATTTGAAAAACACCTGTAGCAGTCAAATTACAATTCTATGTTGCCAACAAATTTTTCATCATCAAAACCACACAAAAAACACAAAAAAAAACAGTGGCAACACAATCAACTATTTCTTCAATGACAAATCCATAGAGATAGAGGTATTCCCATAACAGTGTGGACAACTGTAGTACTTTTGTTGTTAATACTACTGAATCATTTACCTTTAATTGTTTGTTGTCGGCTATCGATAACAATGATTTTACGCTCACGCAGTCTGACAGAGCCCTCCAGTGGGGATTTAGATAAACACTTGTTACACATTTCGATACATAAAATGAAATTGTTGATCAAAACATAAAAAAACGCAAGTAAAGAACGTTTAAGTATTCAATATTAATCAAAACACAAAGGTTATTCCTGTACTAGTTTTTGGAATTATTTGAGTCAGGCGTTGAGAACCTTTGGTGACCCCACAGTTTAAATATCTATAATAAATACAACGTGATGAGTGGGCGTTACAGACGAACGTTTACCTAATTTAACCCAGTCAATGGGAGACTTGAGTGCACCAAAAAATGGTCTTGTCCACACTGTTATGAAAACGATACTATCATCTTGGCATATGCATCCATGGTGTTTCTATTATTTTTACTTTAAAGTTATATAAAGGTTATCTGTATGACCTTTTGGCCTGTTCTGTTTAGGTCATAAGGACATTTTTCTTGGATAATTATCTTTGGGGCTTAATCCAGTCTTACAGAATAAAAACAATTTATGTTGACATTGTAGTTGTCAATATGTATAGGCAGCAAAGTAAACTTCATTTGCATTATTTTTATGTGCAACTTACAGAAAATTCATTAAAGAGTTTTTAAAATTGGCCAGTATTAAGTAAGATCATTCTTAATATCAGATATATTTCTTCTTTCAAAATGATATTCAAAATTTGATTATAATAATTTGGAAAAGATACTTGATATATTTGTCTTTTAAATTTTACTAGAAGGTGTATGGATTTATTATTTAGAAAAAAAAAATCAAATTTGTAGAAAAATACTTGTTTTTGTTTTTCAGATGTGGAACTTCCTGAATGTAAGGATTCAGCATCTCTGACTATGTGTCGTCTAATAGTTCGAGCTGGGCTCTGTGGATATACAGATTATTCAAAGCAATGTTGCTATAGCTGTGACCAATCAAAACTTAGGGGCTAAAGTAAAAAGAGTTTACTGTAGAATTATTATGAATAAATGAAATTTTACACATTTCTTGGGATGGAAGAATTCGATATCCAGTTTAAAGTTTTATAAAAAAAAAAAAAAATTGTGTGTCCTAAAGCAATGTAAATCAGAATTAAAAAATCTTGTGATGTTTTTTTCAAACATTTATTTAATTAATTGCATACAATTTAGTAACAAAGGTGGTCTTCTTTCTTTGAATAATGAATCTCTCGCAAAAATGACTTGACAGCTTGTTGACCCCAATATCAACAGGCTTACACTCTATCTTTTTCAGGTACCAGAATTCAAAATTATGGAAATAATACAAAATTTTGAAAAAAATTGGTACCTGCTTTTAAATAATAGATGTTGGGTACAGTCTATATATATAATAGCTTATTAAATGCTACACTTTGTCATTGGTTGATAGTTGTAAAATTGGCAATCATCTTGGAATTAGTTTAGAAACTTTAAACATAGGACAGTGCAAGGAAGTATTTTTCTTATTTATGCATAACAATTCTACAGATAACTAAATGCAAGGGACATAACTCAATCAAATACAATAGATTACCTCCCATGTCACCTTGCTGTAACATACATTTTATTAAATTGTACTCGATGCTCATATATTTTCTTTTTGTAAAAAAATAGTTGTATAATTACTTTATTTGTTTTAAGAAAGCTTTAATATTTTTACCTGTCTATATTGGTTTTATAATCATATACAAGAAAGAGTTGTTAAATATTTCTATGTACAAGTTGTGTCGATGAAGAAATCCAAAAGTAAATACTCTTGTTGCAGAATATATCCATTGAATGTTTACTTGTCAGGGGTTGTAAGTCATTTTTTATCATTTTTTTTTGAAAATTTATACCTTTAAAATATAACCAAAGCATAACCAAGCTTTAAATTTTATTATTTTATAACTACAATAATGTACATTCAAGTGTTGTAAAGTATCAGGTTCTATACAGAGGTTTAATACTCTTTTCAAAAAGGTTGTCAACCCTTAAAAACTGTCCCATTTTCAATGATATACAAGTCCATTTTGGATATTAAAATAAAATTGCTGAAATTTTAAACTTGTATTGCAAAATAAAACCTAGAAATTATGCTTTTTTTTCTTAATAAAATAAAGCCAAGATATGATCCTTTGTTGATACAAAATTTGTATCCTGACAAAATATATTTCAATACCACATTTTCTTATCTATGCAAATCCACCATGCTACTTTTTGAAAATTGTACTGTATGGAGATTTTGATTTGATTATTTCAAAAAAGTGAAAGTAATGACAGAAAGGGTTGTATGAAGATGGACAAATATATGTCTCTGGAGGTTTTAGGAAAAAAATATGTTGTTTTGGAGCTTGGTTGAAACATTTTAAACCAGAAATCTTTAGAAAATGACCTTACAAATTACAAAGGTAATAAAGAAAATTGACAGAATTTTTAAATACTTATTTACCAGTAGTACATACAAACTTGAATTGAATTAGGCTATAAATTTATGGAAGAAAAAAGTTTATGCAGAATTCAAGCTGAAGCACTTCTAAGTAAATTAAATTGAATTAAACAAAGTTCAAATTTCAAACACAATGTTGACACGGTTGAATATTTCTTTATATATTATCTATGCCACATAATTTGTTTAAGACTAGTCAAGCTTGTACAGATTTTCTAGTGTTTGTAAGATATCTCTTGGAAAACATCCTTTGCTTTTTTTTAAATGTTTTTTATTTTGAAAATAGAAGAGGTAATTGTCTGATCTTTTCCAGCATAATTTTTTTTCTTCGTGTATTATTTCTGAGGTTGAGATCTTGTGTTCAATCCAGTTTTATGCCAGTATATGTGTTACTTAGTTGTTACAGTCAAGGAATGCCAGATTTACTGAATGACCTGTAGAATAATTTAGTTTTTGAATTTTGTTTTTATAAAGGTCAATGTCTATCTTTAGAATTAATTTTAGAGGATAGCTTTGAAATGTAGTTTACATATTGATTGTTTTCCAAACACTTAAAATGATATGCTTGATAAATTTTGCCCACAGTAAAATCATGTCTGCAGAATTATTCTAAATAAAAGAATCCCTGTTAAGATTGAGTTATACATTAAAATGTTATGAAAATTTATTTTTATGTATTTTATACCTTAAATGTTAGCATTACAAAATCATTGCTTGTGAATATCAAATGCTTTTATTTCTTAAACCTGGTCATTGTAATGCCATGTTATGTTTTGAAAGTGCTTGTATATTTTTAATCAAAACACAAAATTCTGTTTGTATCTTTATTTCTGGTATATATGTATTCAAACTGTGTATATGTAAGTAGTGCTAGATTTATTATTGACATTGTAGTATATTTCAAATTTGTCATTCTTATTTCTATGGCTTTGTAAAATATATGTCTGTAGGAAAAAGATTGATTCATAGTTCTATTTGAGGTAATATTTCAGTTGAGTTATTAACCATAAGATTAGAATCAGTATTGTAAGTGTATAGACATGAATCAGTTATTTCCCTACATACCGTCATCAGTCTAAGTCACATAAGAAATTATAACTATTAAAAAATATGAAAACTATATGTGTGTTTAATATCTTATGGATTCTTTGGAGGATTGTGCCAGACAATGAACAAAAGGTTAGAAAAAGGCTTGGTGCATCCCTGGTTTAGATTTTAAGACTTAAAATTGGTATAAAAATCTGACTCTAGTACAAAGCAGGGTATATGTTCATATCTTATTGAATCTAACAATCCTGGAAATAAATATAATATTTGCCAGTGTTAAGCAGCCAACAATAAATCAATTAACCAAAATTATGCAAGTTTCTTTAAAAACAAACTTATATTGTTTGTTCTTCTAACGGCTCCACTGGACCTGCTTACAAATAACTAATATCTATATCAGCAATAAACGTGAGTTATTGTGAAACTGCCTACTTTGAGAGTTGTATGATTTCAGATTTAGATACTAAAAATTGCTGACCTATATAAATGCCTTACCTCATGCAGTAGTATAAAAAACATACAAGGTCTCAGTCCTTGACAAAAAACATATTGCATTCTAGACAGATTAGAGGAATTAGTCATTCTTTGTTTCATAAAAAATGACCAATGTAGATAAGATATCTTGTTGTAGGAAGGGACACACCATTCTGAAATAAAGCACTCCAACATCTTTAAGATGCTTATTTTTATGCCCCCGCTGTAGCGGTGGGGGCATTAAGTTTTACCCTTGTCCGTACGTCCCATAATTGGTTTCCGTTCTCTAACTTGAGTTTGCCTCAACCAAATGTTTTGAAACTTAAACACAATGCTTATTACCACAAAACACAGATCAAGGTTGAATTTTGGTGGCGTCACTTTAACAGTTCTAGAGTTATGCCCCTTTATAAATGGAAAAATTGCAAAATTTTTATTTTCTTCTAAATATCAAGTAATTTTTAAAATTGGAGTTATCTTCCTTTGTCCATGATTATAGTTTAATCAACTACAATCAATGCTTTATACAATGCAATGTTTAATTTTGACTTCCACTTATAAAACACAGATCAAGTTGAATTTGGGTAGTGTCACTTTAACCATTATTGAGTTATGCCCCTTTATAAATCGAAAGATTGCAAAATTTTTAGTTTCCATTCTGTAGCTTAAGTTAGCCCCAACCAAACATTATGAAACCTATACACAATATTCATTACCACAAAACTAAGATCAATTACAATTTTTTTGTTTCCTTTTTTTAACTTTAGTTTGCCTCAACCAAATGTTATGAAACTTATACACAATGCTTATTACTACATAATACAGATTAAGTACGAAATTTGGTGGCGACACTTTTACCATTCTTGAGTTATGTCCCTTTATAAACATAAAAATTGCTGAATTTTTCGTTCCGTTCTCTAACTATCAGTTTGTCTCAACCAAATGTTATAAAACTTATACACAACTGTTCTAGAGTTATGTGTGTTTACAAATAGAAAAAATTGCTGAATTTTTAGTTTCTGTTCTCTACTTAAGTTAGCCTCAACCAAATGTTATGAGACTTACAATGCTTATTACCACAAAACTCAGATCAAGTTCAAATTTGGGTAGCGTCACTTTTACCATTCTTCAGTGATGTCCCTTTATAACTATATGATATGCAAGCAGGGGCATCATCTGTGTCCACATGTGGACACTATCCACATTTATTTTAATATACAACATATTTGATTTGGAGTTTTACAACTGACAGTTGGCATTCCTATTGGAATCAACTGAGCCTCACTTTTCACCATCTTCTTACTTAACTTGTATAAGGCAACTATCAGACAGAATGCAACAGTGCTAGATGTTTACTGGTCATGAGAAACACAATCTACTACTAAACCTTTGATAGCACCTTAATTTGATCCTGTCATTTTGGTTGGGTCATGTTTCTCAATCTCTTCATGTATAAGTTCACAAAGTAACAGTCTACAGTAAGAAATGTCATCCTACCTACACACATGATTCTGAGCTGACCAGTTTTGCTTATACTCCATGACTCCTAAATGCTGTGTGCTCAGTGGAGAGCAGCATAAACTAATTTTCAATTCTTTGTTTTGGTTTGACTTGGCAGTCCACTACCATGTACCCCTGAGGTGGTTTACTAAGTTTTACATCAAATGCAATACCTTGTTATAAATAACATACAATAGAAACATTTTTACCTTTTAACCATGGAAACAAGTATACAATAAAACTATTGTAAATCTTTAATTAGGTGAGGAACTTTCAATGGTATAATTAATTCCCTGGGAAAATAATTGATCAGTCAGTTTAACTCCATTCCTTCATTGGTAATGAATGAATTGAACATAGTATATAGTACTTAAGGTGAAGCTGAATGTATTGCAGGTAACCAAAGATAATTATGCTACTGATTCATAGATATGAATAAAAGGAGATGAGAAACATACGTAAATGAGACCACAACAAAACAAAACAACAAAAATATCTGAAGTTTTTTTTACATTAAACATACTTCTTGTTACCCTGGTGTCAGTTCAAAAGCTCTCGGAGATCTTATGTTGTTTTGCTACTTTACTTGCTGACTTAAAATAAAACCTATTTGATTTGATTTGGTGTATTTTTTACTCTACTTGGAAGAATAAGATCAAAGCTTTTGAAATTTGTGTATATGCAACTAGAGCTTTTGTATTAAATAGCTATGTCATGTAGGCTTACACCCAGAATTTGTTCAGCCTTTCCAATATTAAAACAGAGTAGAAAAACCCAAAATAAACACTAAACAACAAGAGTATGAACTGATTTCCTGATAATCAACCAGTGCAATGTCTATGTTTACAGAATGAAAAAAAAACACATTCAAATTAAGGTGTGTCTGAATCGCTTTTCTGAATATGTGAGGAGCTACAGGACCATAAGTGACCTAAAAAGAATACTCAAATTCATCTAGGGTCAATTTTGCCTAAAGGAAATACTGCTTCTTTCAAATATCATAATTAAAGAACCTTAGAGAGCACGCTCACATACCCCATGCCCCTACATTGTCACTGGGTAAACAAAATCTCACCAGATTCCTAAGTTCAAAGATTCATAACTCCAACAAAAGTCTACTGATAAAAATTTCTTGTGGATATGCACATTTACATATTATGTCCTTATAATCTACAAAGTTTCATAAAATTCTGTTGTGTAGTTTCAGAGGAGTTGCGATGACAAACTGTTGCAGTAGTATATTGAGGCCAATAAGTGCAAAGGGGCACAACTACTAGAAAAACAAGCATTCTGAGAGTATTGCATGGCAATACATAGTCCCCTACCGGGTAAAAATTCATTTCACTGGAACAAAATGCTTACTTGTTCTATAACTTGTCATGGTGTAAACAAAAAGTAAATATCATGTCAATATCTTCAAGCATGACTAAAAACAGTGTGGAAAACTGATTATATGAGTGAAAAAATATTAGATATGATTAATAGTTTTCTAAAATTAGATATGATGTAATACAGTGTATATCTATTTTCAAATTAAAATCAAATATAGTTAATAGTTCCAAATATTTTTTCTTTCATTTGTCACAAACTAATATAGATTTGTAACTTATCTATAAAATGTCAACAACTTTCATCTACACAATGTAATGTATTGAAATATATACATTAATAAAAATAGATTATTATCTAATTAAAGGATTTCTCTTCATAATTTTTTTTTATATATATATCATTCAGAAAATTAGTTTATACTAAATAACAAACAAACCTGCCAAAAAACTCTTCAAATAATTTAACAAAGAATGTCTTTTAAAAAATGAGTTATCTCCCTTTGTATATGGTTTAACATAGTATAACATTAGATGGCCCGAGAACACAGTTATTTCGTAGTGCATTTCTTTTAGACAATAAATTCAAATTTAAAAAATCGCACCTGCTCTATCTCAAAAAGATTTTTACAGTGTAGTGTACTACTATTGATACAAATAATATCAAAATTATAGAAACTTCTACCAGCTCTAACTCAAAATATTGACACTTCTGTGTTAAGGGGGGCTAAAATTCAGTTTGACAGCTTCAGACATTCTAATTTTTGACCTTTTTTAACTGGACCAAATCACTACTTAACATAAAGATTCAGCACCCAAATTTTTTTAACATGTAATTTCACCCCCTTACTTAATATTTCATGCATAAAATATCAAGAAATAAATTGGAAAAGTGTATTAAAAAAAAATGCAAGTTATACACTGTTCACACTAGGGACTATATTCGTAGACAACGAAAACCTAAGGACGATAACTGTGTCCTTGGACCTAATAGGATAGAAAGACTTGACCAATTTTAATAAAACTTTGCATGACCTAAGCTTAGGAAATTATAAGATAGTTGGCCAAGTTTCTTGGCCATAGGATATATATTATAGAAACTAGGGACATTTTAATATTGAAATTTGGATGTTTATCTTTGACGTTTAAATCAAATATTTTCAACTGTCAAGATTTTGGCCTAAAAAATTTAAATATTGCAAAAATTTGCTTTTTAAATACTCTTGAATATAATATAATAAGTATTAAAAGCAACGGAACACTCATTTGATTTATCAGATTTATCGCAGTTATTCAAAAGTCAAATTTATATGAGCCTGTGCCTGAAAATAGAGATTTTCGAATTAAGGGAAGTCTTACATAAACATGCATTTTTTTCAACCAATTTGAAGTTTTTGAAGTTTTTCAACTATACATTATTCTTCCATATATATTAAATGTACTTTAAATGTAAAGAAAAGTTACAAAAAGCATACCACATGAGTATAAAATGGTCTTAGGCCATGTAAGACTGAGAATTATTTCGAGTCGATTTAGGCCGTAGCCCATATTTACATATAAAAATGCACACAGAGGCTATAAGAAATGGAAATTTGTTACTTTTTGCTCATTTCTATGCTAAGATATTATGATACAAGAAGTCTACTTGCAAAAGGACTCTTGAATTCAACTTTTTTTTGCAGACTGTATGGCCTGATGACCAGTTTTTCACTTTTCAATGGAAAACTTGCATGTAGTTTTAGTCTCAATTGGCATATATTTGAACCACTTACTATCCTAAAGAAGAAAAATATGGTAGCATATGAAATGAATAGGGTGTACTGATCATTGTAAAGTGTTTTTTTTTTACAGATTTAGTGAAATATTTGTGATGGACTACAGACTTTATGTACAAAGCTCTTCACATTTCACATACATCAAACAGGCCGTTTAACCAGGGACATAAATACAAATATTCTGCACATTTTTTCTGTGATAATCTACTTTTCTCTAGATTCAGAGTTCACAAATGGTTAATTAAATTTGTTTTAAGCATAGAAACACAAATATCAGGAACATAAAAAGCTGTCAGATAGAAAGTCAGCATGGCTCTTAGGCATAAAATGGAAACTGCTTTAAAATGCTTATTTTAGCCGTATAATGCCAAAATGGGACATTTTAACAGAATTTCTGTCAAACAAAGATGCAAATCCTTTACTTTTATTGAGATTGACAAGTTGAAACCAGCAAACCATTCAGGAAAGTTGCCAAAGAACAGAATCTACATTTACGGAATTCATCTCTTAGGCCCGAGAACACAGTTATTTCGTAGTGCATTTCTTTTAGACAATAAATTCAAATTTAAAAAATCGCACCTGCTCTATCTCAAAAAGATTTTTACAGTGTAGTGTACTACTATTGATACAAATAATATCAAAATTATAGAAACTTCTACCAGCTCTAACTCAAAATATTGACACTTCTGTGTTAAGGGGGGCTAAAATTCAGTTTGACAGCTTCAGACATTCTAATTTTTGACCTTTTTTAACTGGACCAAATCACTACTTAACATAAAGATTCAGCACCCAAATTTTTTTAACATGTAATTTCACCCCCTTACTTAATATTTCATGCATAAAATATCAAGAAATAAATTGGAAAAGTGTATTAAAAAAAAATGCAAGTTATACACTGTTCACACTAGGGACTATATTCGTAGACAACGAAAACCTAAGGACGATAACTGTGTCCTTGGACCAGATATGGTCCAGAGTTATGTATGGTCCATAACTCTGGAGTAAATCATCAGACCGGAACAAAATTCGAACTTGATCTATAACTGTCATGATAAAACTATATACCAAATATCAAATCAATATCTTCAAGAACGAAGAAAAAAAGTGTGGAAAGCTGATTTGCCAGACTGACGGATGGACAGACGGACAGATGGACAGAGGGACGGAGTGCAAACCTAAAGTCCCCTTCGACTTCGTCGGTAGGGGACTAAATATTGAATCATAATTTCCTGTTGATATGCACGTCTACATAGTATGTCCTTATTATCTACAAAGTTTCATGAAATTCTGTTGTGTAGTTTCAGAGGAGTTGCGATGACAAGAAAAGGACTGACGGACGGGTCAAAAACATTATACCTGACGCAAAAATTGTGTGGGGTATAATTATATTTTGCATGTCACTATATCATGGAAAGAAATTTTGTATTCAGTAATGGCCTTTTTAGTTCATTGAATTCTCTGGATTTCAAGATGGTTACCCTGACTAACCTTTTTGGTTTATATTAGCTTTATATTTTATATTTTGGAAGTGATAATTCAAATAAGCTTTTATTCCTGTCAATTTTTTTTGTAGTTATTGAACTTGACCATAGAAAAGATATCTTTCAATGTTTCCCAGACTGAGACTGTTCAAAATTATGGAAATGCCTTGTCTTGGAAAATAAGTAACCACAGTAATATGATGCACCATATATAACAATAAGGAGATGTGGTATAATTGCCAATGAGACAAATCTCCACCAGAGACCAAATGACATAGAAGTTAACAACTATGGGTCACCGTACTGCCTTCAACAAGGAGCTAAACCCATACCACATAGCAAGCTATAAAAGGCCCCCACATGACAAATGTAAAATAATTAAAACAAGAATATAATAGCCTGATTTATGTAAAAAAACAATAAACAATAAATTTTTACATTTCAAAAGTTCAACAGTGGTGCTAAAACAAATATTTGAAATTAAAAAAATATTATATGTTGAAAATCAATTGACCAAAATAATTCCAAAAGGAGTATAGACTGGATTAAAAGGTGTTGAATGCAAAGTAGCTTTGTTTTTGAATTCACCGTATAGTTACAAACAAAATTTGGTTTGAAAAATGTACCAGTATGTGAACCAATAAATGGTAGAAATTTAGGGGATGTAAAAGTAAAATTTAGTAAATGATGATAACTAGAGTGTGAGTTATTACAATTATTTTGATTTTTTGTGGAGAGATAATCAACACATTGTGTCCCTGCTAACAATTTTTTAGTAATGTTTCTATGAATGTAGATTCATGTGAAATACATATATAATTTGAAGTACAGTATTGTCACTTAATATCAATTCTTATCTAACAAGTTAAAACTTTTATCAAGATTTCTTATCATTATCAGTTTTGTTTTTGTCTTTTGTTTCTTTTTCATTTGTCTCTCCATCTTCTTGGATAAATTTTCGAAATCTTTGTTGCAAGCTAGGGATTTTGTTGCCTCCTCCAAGTTGTTTACTTTTTTCTATTGTTATATCTGTATCACTAGCATCCACCCTTACATTTCTTGGCATTGTAGAACCTATCACAATTTCATCATTATTTTCCTTAATTTTGATATCCATATCTTTTCTTGGTGGAATCAGAGCTGCAGCCACATAGCGCCTTTCTAAATTCAGGAAATTGAATGTAGAACAAGCAACATCCTGCAATGGATTTTTATAGATTAAAAAAGAAGAGTTAGTGTTTTAAGAAATCTTATTCTAAAAAATTATTGAATATAGCAGGTTTAAACTGAATACATTGCCTAACAATAAAATTCTACAAAATAAAGATGTCTGCTCTACAGGACTGAAAACTATAAGCCCTTGAGAAAGTGCATCAGGAATCCTTGTTTTCTATAAGGTATGCACTTTTATTTTTTGCTCACTTTTAAAAACTTAAAAGCAAATTAGAAATTTAAGAACAAGTCTTTTTTACAATTTTTTGTTCTTCACTATCTCATGAAAATACTCATTCAGGCTCTTAAGTACCCAGGTATTCTTATAAAACCCTGGTGCTTGCTGAATCCAACCTTATCATGCTTATCAGCACTAATAAACAAATCTTTGCAGAGCGCCTCCTAATTGCAGAGATTCTCCGTATATATCTTCTATTTAAAGTTTTGAAAGATTTAGTCGTTCAGCTTCAGAAAAAAAAAATCAAAAATAAACCAATAGCTTTTCTTCCAATATTAACTAAAGTAGTACTTCATAAGAAAAAGAAGACCTTTCACTCATTACTTCTACAAAAGATCTTCAATACTGTTCAAGTTGTTTCTAAGGAAATGCAATTATAATTTGTCTAAGGGTTTAATGAGATTTTCTGTGGCCTAGATAGACAAAGGTGAAGGTTTAAGCACACTTTAAAACCCATTACACTTTGTGCCTGTTTTAGTTAGGCTATCTGAACCATGCATTGTTCCTTGTTGGCTGTTTTTCTTGAAATTCTGGAGGAGTGATGTGCATGTGGCTGGCATGGTTTGTTGTACTGTCTAATATTTTTCATAATTTCTATTATACTTTTTATTCAATACCATGAATCCATCTGATCAATTTAAATTCCAAAGGAAAAAAATCCTTGTAAAGTGTCTCTCTATCTTCTTTCCCCTAAAGTTTCAGCAGAGAAACACACTGAAAACTGACCAGTCAAAACTGCAACAATGTTTGACATCTGATCAGCAGAAAATTTATAAACTATATAAAAATCTATCTATTATGGTTATTATGAAAGTGCAAAGAATTTGACCATTTACTTTCAAAGGGAAAACATTAGGAAATTGACCAGTGGCAGTCTTTAAACATAGTTATTAAAGGAGATCAAAATTGTAATGTAATAATAAAATTGAGAATGGAAATGGGGAATATGTCAAAGAGACAACAACCCGACCAAAGAACAGACAACAGCCGAAGGCCACCAATGGGTCTTCAATGCAGCGAGAAAATCCCGCACCCGGAGGTGGTCCTCAGCTGGCCCCTAAATAAAATTGTGTAATGTTTACCTGCAACTCCCTATTAATTGCGAGGATAATGTAGACTTATTCGACCATACCATTTTGTAAGTCATTTTGCCAAAGATTTACAGGATTTTTCAGAATTTTCAAATTAAATTTTTCTCTTTTTTTTTATATATATATCATATTTTTTATCTTAAAAGTGGTCATGTTAAACATTATTTTGAAACTAAGGATGATTATGACAAAGTTTGCTGCTAAATGGTCCTGAGATTTAAAGCTAAAATGCTGCATTTCAGACAATGAGTATAGAGTGATAAAAAAAATTTGATACTGACCCTTTGGGCCAGGTGAGCCTACAATGCCAGTTCAAATTCTTTTAGCTAAAAGAATAATACACTGATTGATCTCAATAAGTCTTTACAGAGAAAACACTGAATTAAATAGAAATTTTATATACAGCAGGATAAATTGTGGAAATACCATATCTGATCCATTTGTCCTTTTTTCAAAATATAAAAGTAAAAAATCTGATAAGTCATCAAATAACTATTTATCAAGCATGACACTAGAAACTTGCTGACTGTAATAAGTTATAGTTAGAGTATAGTAGTTTTCATGGCTGATCAAATGTGTGACATCATTGATCTACAATGAATGACACCACAACAAACAATACTTACTGTAGGTAATATTTCTACATTGATCTTCTTTGATTTTAGGAAAGTAAAGACACTGTTACTGACTTTGTTATCTCTGTCACCATAGCCTATTATCACTAAGTCTGAAAACAGAACATAATTTTATCATCTGTAAAAATAACTGTATAATACTTGTTAAGATCGTAGAGTGAAAGTAGATAGCAAATCTATACAGAATAACTTTCTTGTTTTTTTGTTTTTGTTATTTTGTTTTTTATTTTGTTTTTTCTGGTTTTTTTTCGTTTTTTTTTTTTTGGGGGGGGGGTCTTAGATCAACTAATTCTATATCTGTCTATCACCTAACATTATTTTAAATTTACAGTGTTTTGATACATAAACAGCTTTATATTTTTCCCAATAAAAAAATAAGAACATTATTATCAGAGAGCATAATATAGTTGGTTTTCTACATGAAAATGCTTTTGCTAAATTCTTACACCAGAAGCTTAAATATAAGGAGTCTCTGCTTAAACTGACAGAGCTTTTTTTTAAATTAAATCTTGAATTCACTCTTTTATTCCCTCAAGTGACCATATATGGAAAACATAAGACCAAAGCAAGAACAAGATAAATATTTGACAGGAATTTTAGTAAAGAGTTCAAAAAAGTTATATGCATACATTTGGGGCTTAAGATAAAAGGTGATGAACTTTTGAGTAGGACCTGGCAAGGTGGTTCTATCTTGAAATACATTCCAGTTGCTATTTATTTGCTAGCATAATGTTTATGCATGAAGCATTCATTCTTTGTAGTAAAACTAACCTAACTTGGGAACAAGCAATGGAAACAAGGCTAGAGATTCTTCATTTATATGTTCATGACTTCTGACCTGAAAGATATATATTTCAAATACATCATTCATAATCATTCTGTTAAATAGAATATCAAGTATTTTTGCCCAAACATTAGAATCTTTATATCATTTAAAATAAGCATTCTGATTGTAACTTTTTAGTTTATGTAATATGTCATTGCACTAGAACTAAGATGGCAAACATAGCCTTAAGATAATATATTGCTATTTTATGAATTTTGATGTTCTTCAAAGTTACATGTTTAATGTGTTCAGCTTCCCAAATTTTGGTCTCAAGCAAACCTTAAAAAAGCCTTACCCAAAATATAATGTGTGCATTGACATTTGTCTTAATTAATATTACTAAAACAAGGTTTGTGCCACTGAAGAAGTGTGATGTATGATGAGCCTAATAATATACTTACATTCCAGTGTAAGACAGTCTTTGGAAAAAGTGCAATCGGACCTAATACTCTAGTTTCACTGCTCAATAAAAATCCCATTTGACTAAAAGCATGGACATATAAGTAATTTGACTCATCTTCATGTGTTAAAAATTGCAACTCTGTTTTCATAAAATGTCCTTCAGTATTAAGATTTCTTACTGCATTCCTGTAAATACAAAATTTAATATATATTATGGGCAAGATACATGTAGAACTGAACAAGAGGCCCCAAGTATCCACTATCACTCACCTGGTATACTCTTTATGTGTCTGTCCAAAGTCAGGAGCCTGTAGTACAGTGGTTGTCATTGGTTCATGTCTCATGTTTGTTTTTAGTACCGGTAAATTGTTTTGTTATAAATTAGGCTGTTAGTTTTCACACTTTATAGCGGACTATAATGTATGGATTTTTCTCAACTTTGAAGGCCCAATTGTGGCTATAACTGCTTACTACCACTTCATTTTAACTCTGGTGGACAGTTGTCTCATTCGCAATCATGCCACATCTCCTTATTTTAATATGTATGCATGATAGTGCTTTGGTAGGAAGAAGGGTCATAAAAAAAACATAAAACTCCTTTTTGAAAAGTTTAACAAGAGGATCCTCATACATAGTCTAAATGGGTAATCTTCCTTCAGCCAAAAGACAATATTTTGGACAATTATTTAATCATCTCTATGATGAAAAATAATAAATTCCCAGTTATCCTCTTTGTAATTTGAAACTTATTGTATTGATTGTTGTTGGTTTATTTCTGTATTGTTTTTTATAACCCCCAACCAGGATAGTAAAAGAGGGGGGGGGGGACATCTTATTTTTTTTGGCATGTGTGTGTGCATTTGTCCAATTATCCTTTGTCAGTCTCTGATTCTGCTTGTCAGTCCATCAGTCCTGTATCAGGTTAAAGCTTTGGTAGTTTACTATGAAACTGTGCTTACATCATCTTGACATTTGGTATACAGGATTGTTTATTAAGAATTGAATGCTTTTTTATTGTAATTTTATTGGGGTGTAAAAGCGTTGACTGATCAATGTTTTTACAACCCTATAAAACTACAAAAAGATGCATTCAATCTTATAATTACATTTATATGCTACAGTTATGAAATTACGGGTTATATCAAGATTTTTGTTTGGTTTTCCTATGCATTTTTGTAGTGACATTTTCATGAAAAGCACATGCAATCATGAATGTTGAATTTTATTGAGAAATACAAGTTGATTTTAGAATACCTCGCAATTGCTTTCAGCCAATCAAAAGTACCAGATTCTTATTATGATATGAACTATTTACAATGAATGCCAAAAAAAGATTTTCATGGTTCACTAATCAAGTCAAAGTTTTTGTGAAATGTCTCTTCCAATGGAGTTGTGGACACATCAACATGAAACTTAGTACAAATGTTTATCATGATGTTAACTAATCAAAGTTTTTGTGGGCACTGAAGGTTAAAGGTTGCATTCATTGTGCAGTGGGAACTAAAAATTAAGCATTGTAAGGCAATGCTATACAAATTGGAGATATTTTCTTTTGTAGATAGTTGTAGTTTGTTGAACTATGATAATGGACAAAGGAAGATAACTCTAACTTTATTTATTACTTTAACAATGACAACATAGATATTTTTAAAAAAGATACTAGATTCATATGCACCATGCACAATTTGTGTATTTTTTTGACAATTATGGTTTATACATACACATCTTTTTGTAACTTGAATATTGTTGTGATTTTATTGATAAATTTCTTGAAATGTTCATGGATGTTGTGCTCAATTCAATGTATTTTTGTTAACTCAAATGTCTGGAAATTAATAGCTATCAAGCCAGTCCCATAAGGGTTTTGATTGCATGAATGTAATCTTTACCCCAAACAAAATATTCCAAAGAAGGGTTTGATCTTGAATTTGCTGTTCACTGAGAGTGGGAATCTGATGGTGTGAAGGGGTATATGTATGTACTACTGAAACATAATCTGGTTTTCCATTTCTTAGAAAATAAGTTTTCTATTGGTATATTACATGTACACATGACCATATCATCAACAACAAATTTTTTTGTATTGAGTAGACAGAAATACTATGACTTCCTTTGACTAGAACATTTATGTCATACTGTATATATAGACATTGGATTGAAAGATCATTTTGATTAATTGATTGGTGTTTAACGCCACTTTCAGCACTATTGTGCTATTTGATGGCAGTCAGTTTTTATTGGTTGAGGAAATCGGAGTGCCTGGAGAGAACCACTGACCTAGGGAGGGAAACTGACAATCCTAGTCAATTTAGATTGGGGTCAGCCCATCTCACACCGTTATGGACTAGTGATACAGTAGTTTGACTACTTAGACCACTGAGGCCCCCAGATCATTTTGAAGTTACTTTAACAATGTTGGCAATATTGCAAAATGACATAAATTTTGAATTATAGGAAATCTTGCAATGACCTAGATGGGTCTTGAATCAAATAGAGGATCTAAAGAGCCTGTGTTGCTCACCTAGGTCTATGTGCTTTATCAACAATGGACTCACTCCAACATTGTAGACAAGAATAGAATTCATGACAAAAATTTCTTTTTTGTTAATCTTGTATTGCTGATCATTTTGTCTGTTTAGTTTTTCTCTATCTTCTTTAATTTTGCTCAAAACACAAAAGAGGGTAAAAAAAATCCTCATTTACAGGCAATCACTCCTATGAATGTGACAGTCTATTAACTATATCGGCAAAATTTGACTTGTTTGTGGATCTTATTTGGTTTTTAAAGTTTCTATCCATCTATTATAATTTTTGTCATGTAAGGCAAACCCCAAAAAAATTGGTAAAAATCGTCATTAAAGGGCAATAACTCCAGAAAGGAGTTGTCAGAAAATTTTCTCCAGATAGTCTTAAATGAAGATCTTGTCTTGCTGATCATTTTTGCTTCTTTAAGTTTCTGTCTATCTATTATTATTTTTAAGATATAAGGCAAAAATGTAAAAAATTGGTAAAAATCATCATCAAAGGGCATTAACTCTAATTAGGAGTCGAATGATGCTTTTGACAATGCCATATTTATTCGTAGATCTTGTTTTGTTGATCATTTTTGCAACTTAAAGTTTCTCTCCATCTATTATAGTTTTCAAGAAAAAAGACAAAAAAAAAAAAAAATGGTAAAATTTGTCATTTATTAAGGGCAATAACTCATATATAAGTTGCCTGACATTTTTGATGTCATGAACAATTGGTAGAGCTCAACATTCTGAACATTTTGCTTTTGTCAGAATTTCTCCTTTTATAACGGTTTTCAAAATAAAACAAAACTAGCATTTTACCCCTTTGTTCTATTTTTAGCCATGTCTGCCATCTTGGTTGGCAGCCGTGGTCATTGTACATATTTTTTAAACTACATACCCCAAAGAAGAATGTGGCCAAGTTTGGTAAAATTTGGTCCATTTGTTTCAAAGGAGAAGATTTTTGTAAAAGTTAACGACAACAGACAATGGACGACGGACGCCAAGTGATGAGAAAAGCTCACTTGGCCTATGGCCAGGTGAGCTAATAAAAAGGGTGTCATTCTGAGAGAAAAAAATCTACCAACATGTTGCCAATTTTTGCAGAGTAGACAAGATTGGAATTTTAGTTTGAAGAGAACTATCAGGAAAAAATTGATGAACCTGTAAGGCCCTGTAACACTTTACACATGAAGCATGGATGGATAAATTAATGAAAGCTTTCAGTGGCAAATATTACATTCATATGGGATATGCATTTGAACCTTGCACCAAGCTTTGTTCTAAACCTACATGCTGAGCCTGTTCTTTTACTTGCTAATAAAAAGGTAACAGTCAGCAGGAAGACATGTCATCCTACACCTGTACCTAGACAGATAAATGTGATAGGTGTCGACCAGTTCTGCTCAGCCTCTTACTCCTAAATGCTACATGCTTAACAGAGAAACAGTAAATACCAATTTTCTAGTTTTCTGGCCAGAAATGAAACCCACAACCTCCCACATTCAAGGTAAGCATGCTAACACCCACAGGACCATCACCAAACAAAGAAGTCTTCAATATATATGCAGGATTTTTGGTCATGGTTATTTCATAAGGAACATAATACAACCAATCCTAGCAATATTCATGATTTACTAAGGGAATTTCAGATATGACAAAAGAGATCCAATAACAAGGTACTTTGTCTGGGGTACATGTGGCTTAATAGGTTTCTCAAAGCAGAAAAGGATATACATGTACAGGAATGTGCAAAATGTAGATTACATGATTATCATCTTTATGAAAATCATTCTTTTTTGCCATCCTTTCCTATTTTGAGTGTTGAGTCTCAGATATCCTATTGTTTGTGCCTCAAAAATTATTCAGACCTCAAAATTTAACTTGAACTCCTCTTTGAATTTCTACTAAAATTTATATAGACATTGCTCGTAAATGGAAGCAGTTTTATATTTTTTTTAATTCTGAATCCGTGACTAGAACTCTAACTCAAACACTAAACTAAAGTATACATTATAACTTAAACTTTAATTTAACTAAAAGTCACACTAGCTTGGATAATGTGAGATTTCACAGTATACTTGTTCGGTTAGCATGCTTTACAAGTTAAAATGTACATGTGCATGTAATTATGGAAATTTTCTCTCCTCTAGAAATTAAAACCTGCGTTTCTATAAATATTAATCATTTTAACATACAAAAGGTACATGATGATACATGTACTTTTTAAATGTTGAAGTTTGATACTAATCTGTATTAAAAAAAAAGAGTCATACCCAACTATATCAGTCCTATTCAGGACCGATAACTCTGTCGATAAATATTGTCGGGTATACAATGTTGTTGAAACCAGAGCAATTGTATTATATGTCTCTGTTGAAATGTATACAATAACAAATTTTTTTACACAAGTTTAACTTTATATCGATTTATTGAATGCCTGGATTTTGCTTAAAATATTGAATTAAAAAAATAAATAATAAAATCATATTCAATGAAATTTCGTTTAATTTTTTACGAAATAATACAAAATCCATTTAAATTAAAATTTGTATCAAAATATTTCTTTAAAATAATTATAGAAACATAAATATTAGTTTGATTATCTTTTAAAGCAAAAATTATTTTTTTAAAGATTTGTTTTTATAATATTCATATTTTCTTTAAGTTTATTATGATACATACTTCTTCTGGTTTGACACGGGGAAGAGAAGATATTTATTTGTACAGTTATGAAAACTTTTGTATATCACAAAATTTAAACTCTGGTAATACATGTATACACAGGATGTTTAATGTCACCTGGTTGCTTTTGGTTTGCACGTCTACCTGACAATATATTGTTATGTAACATTACATCCAAAGTCAGAGTTCACCTGTTCGTCAAGTGATGGGATTTTGAAGGTATGGAATATTTATCTATAATAATTGTTGGGATTTTTTTCTCTCTTGGGACATAAATATTTTTTTGTTCTAAAAGGAATGTATAAATATATTTCTAAAAAACAGGAAAAAAAACCTTTTAAAAAAAGAAGAGAAAAAATTTTATTATAAATTTTATTGTTAACTATTTTCTGGTAACAGTATATCCTGGATATCTGTCAAAATAAAATGTTCCCGTGTCACACTTAAAATAATATTTTTTTAATCAATAAATTTTGAAATCAATCATATCGAAATATCACCAAAGAAAATAACAGAAACATCAGAGAGTCTACATGAAAATTAAATTAAATCAAGGAAAGTCTTACTATACAAATCCTCGATTTGATGCAACATTTCCATATACATCATCCGCCATTTTGAAAAATCCCGAAATATTCACTTTTTTAAATCGATTTTTGACCGAAATTGCCCAGAAATTAAACTGTTTTAAATAGTATTTTTCGCCAGATATATGCTTGAATATACTTAATCGAGTTGCAAAGTTTTATTTTTATTAACGGAATTTCTTTATTTGTTATACAAGTAGACATGGGTATCGGTACATTTAGCATTGAGTCAACGGAGAAATAACGAGAAAAAGTACATGTTTTAACGATTCTCCAGTGACAGAATTTAATCAAAAATTAAACTGTTAGGACCAACATTGTTTGATAGAAATATGTTTGAATATCAAGGATTGATTTGCAAAAGTTAGAAAACAGGTCAGGTTCATGAGAAAACTAAACTTTATTGAAGCACCTATGCATTTTATATGGGGCAATATAATACAAAATGGCGGCTAGTATACGTCACAAAAGTCACGTGATGTCTGACTTAGTTGGATATGTTAAATAAAAATTACACAAAGTTAGTTCTTATTCAATAATTTAGCTTCAATAGGACATGTAGAAGCAACACCTCACTAAAATAATTTACCACATACTTGTACAAGACTTAATGATACAGGAGATATAGTATAAAGTTGACAATTCTTCTTTGTGTCTAAGTCCTTGGTCTGGTTCAATCTTCTGACTTTTTAACAATGCTAAAGGAGTCGGGGCATTATTTTTAGTGGTTAGGACAGAGAAGTGAAGCCAGAGGGAGGTGTTACCCCCTTTATTTTGGGTTAGTTAGGAAATTATCATTGACTTCAAAGTTCAAATTCTGCGTCTAAGTGAGAAAATCAGTCTAGACCCGACTTCCAGAAGGGATTACATGCAAGTATTCATCGTGGGATTTTTTTCGCGAGTAGTTGGACGGTAACGAATAGAGAGGAATGACATCACAACTTACAAGAGACACTGATTACACCTTTTGAGTAATCCAATCTTTAAAACACTTTGTAGCATGTTTACTTCACCAATTTATAGTCAATCTGACATCCAAAGTCAAGGAGTCCAGGGTGGAAATGTCAAGAAAGGGAACAGTAACGCGTTAAACTATTCTTTTCTAATAACAAACCACACTCCTATACAGGGGGTACCAACTTCCGAAGCAAGGTTGTCGGCTCTCCGGACTTTCCCGAAGTCCTGCGTTTTATGAGCTTCGGTCCTTGCTTGGAAGTTGAGGGGGTACTTCTATCTGGAGTAAAAAGGTAAATGTTCGCACATGCACGGTGACAGCTGATAATTATCATGTATAAACTAAGATAATTATCATGTATAAATCTAATATTAAAATTGATTTTAAGGATGTTTGCTCCTCTTGTTTTTGAATTTTTGTCATATATTCGGAATCCTCTGGTATTATCCATGTAGTGCCATTAAAAATTTTGCCCACTAAGCCCTACTTTTCTTTTCATAATTTTATAACATATAGTTTAAAAAGCCATATTTGAAAATCTTGTAAGATTCTTGTTATTTTTTCATAGTTTTTGATAGAAAAACAGTGCCAATGTTATTAGTATGAAAAATCTAGAGAGAATCATTTCCCGCCAAATTTTCAACGGCTTATATCTCAAAAACAAGCACACGGACCCTTCATTTTTTTCTGCTTTTTTAGTTCCGTTATTTATATACTATCAATTTATAACAGTCTTTTAAAAAGCTTGTTATTTTGAAACAGACTAGCGAACATCCTTAAAGCCACTTATGGTGTAGCAGATACGTTAGTTAAAAATGTTGTCTTGTATTTAAGGATGTTCGCTACTCTGTTTCAAAATAAAAAGCTTTTTAAAAGACTGTTATGAATTGATAGTATATAAATAAAGGATCTAAAAAACACAAAAAAATATTAAGGGTCCGTGTGCTTGTTTTCGAGATATAAGCTATTGAAAATTTGGCGGGAAATCATTCCCTCTAGATTTTTCATACATTTAACATTGGCACCTTTTTTCTTTCAAAAACTATGAAAAAATAACAAGGATTTTATAAGATTTTCAAAGATGGCATTTTTTTTAAAACTATATGTAATCAAATTATGAAAAGAAAAGTAGGGTTTAGCGGGCAAAATTTTTAATGGCACTACATGGATAAAACCAGAAGATTCCGAATATCTGGCAAAAATTAAAAAAACAAGAGGAGCGAACAAATTAGAATTGGAAGAAAGTGCAAAATTTGCAGTCTAGATTAACAGTTAATTTACGTTGCAGGCAATTTGTAAAATGCATGACATTGACAGGCATGATGAAATGATTTAAAAGCTTGGTCATTTTTTTTTAAAAGACTGTTTTAGAAAGTGACTAATAAGTTTCAGGCAATTTGTAGAAAAAAGATGTCATATGACATATGGCATATAACAAAAAACACAATATCTTGCAAAGAAAATAACCAATGGTTCAGTAAAATTGAGTTTATTCTTCAAATACCAGCTGGGAAGTTTGTATGTCTATTATAAGTTCGTTTTAGTAAAAGTTTATGTCGTATCAATATTATGGCTAGGAGGAGACTTGAATCTTCCTGCTATTGACTGGAAATTCAATTCAGTATGTGGCAGCCAATATTCTACACAACTCAATAAAAGGTAAATAACTTCTGTCTGGATCAAGTGGTGACGTTCCCCTACAAGAGGTTCTGCAACACTCGATATTTTCCGCACAAACAAACCATCCTTAGTAAACAGATGAGAGCCAATTCCCAGTACAGGCGATCTTTATTGATAGTAATGCCATAGCAATGCACCCAAAATCAATACAAAGAAAAGTTTACATCTGGAAGAGAGCAGACATAGCAGTAATGAAATCAGATGCACACGAACTATCCAAAATATTCCTTGGCCTATGCAACTCACAGAGCTCAATATCAGACAGCCAAACGGATTCCCTCTATAGAATAATGAGAATTGGTTTAACCATACGAGGCTGTGTTTGGTTCTGATGCAAAGATGTAAGTATATTCATCTTCATTTTCTCAAGGGAGTTATTTACAAATGTTAAAATCTCAAAAATCGATCAAGAAAAAAAACAAATCAAGATAACAAACAAAACCTGATGCCATCGCATGAACACCATAAGGAGGGAGACCGGGTGCGTCGACAGGGTAAGCGTCTCCTGCTATGCATGCATAAACAGCCATTTGAAGATCTGTTACAGCCAGTTGAATGTTCTGATAAGGTAAAAGATGTTAGTCAACTTAATCATGCTAATGTTAATTTGAATTGTTTTGGAAGATTTCCATGTGTGTGCTGTTTGCATAACCCTACGTTTTTCGAACGTTAAGTGTTTTATCAGGAAAAAGATTGACAGAGCTGAATGTGTCATGGTCCGGGTTTAACCAAATGTGTCGCAGTGCTAAGATCAGATTCAACGCCAAACGATGTTTTTGCAACAACAACAAAATAGGAGAAATGTGTAACAGATCCTGCCTTCCAAACTTTTCATGAAATAACAAATAATTGTCTAGTTAAGTACATGCGGGAATTTAAAATAATTTAGAAGAATGTATACAAATAAGTCAGACCCTTATACATTCCTTCAAAAATATTTTCACATTAAAATGAATTCGAGTCACTAGAATTTGATTGTAAACTTGTAGATAATAAAGGCTGCTTGGACGGATCATGTAAATATGGATATTTTGTAAAAAAAGGGTCGTATATACTGTAAGTGTGATATTTTCTTCATAGCAGCAACATATGCGATTGTCTTAATGCACAAAACTACATTTACTTTATGTACAGCCATTCTTTGAAAAAAATGAGCAAAATGAAAGAAAAAAATATATATTATATTCTTCTTTATGATATACATGTATATTTAGCAGCACACAAACATTCTGAGAACAAGATTATCATTAAACTGCAGGCATATACATGTACATTTTTAAATGACATTGAATACTTCAAGTTAAATACTTACTTTACACATTTTGCAGCTCATACAAGAATAACGAAGACAAAAGAAAGAATAAGAATGAAATGACTCCAGTATACAATTTAACAGATTAAAAAAATAGCTTTGATGCGTTATATAAAGCTTTAATCCCGATATATATATTCATACACCCGTTTTCCGCTTTTAAATCAGAAAAATAACTTGCTTTGTGCATCTTTAATATATTCTAAGTGGATATAAATGATTTATATATTACAGTATATTATTAATCGAATATTTTTAAGGATTTGTGATTCGTTAAAACTTGATCACATGTACATTTGTATTTGCTCAGTTTGCATGCCAATACTGTTGTGTTTAGCTTTTCGTAGGTCAAAAACAGCATATTGCACAGAGCATACAGCATGTTACTAAAAATAGATTCTAGAAATCCCCAATTTTACATTGTTCATGCAATAGTTGTTGATTAATAATATAACAATTGTAGCCTTTGGTTGAGGTCAATACGAGGTTATATCGACCCAGAGAAGCATATCGACCTCGGACTTCGTCCTCAGTCAATATGCTTCTCTTAGGTCGATATAACCTCGTATCGACCTCATACAAAGGCTATAATTGTATAATATTGTATGTATATGTATCTAAGTACAATGTATATGTACGAAATCTTTATGCGTTCAAATCCTGACGAAGAAACCAAGTTGCCTTTGGAAGCCATGTTTTGCGTCCGATCAGAACGAAATAAATAGATTAAGACAAATTGGTGACGTTGTCAGATTACCCATTGTCGATTTGTAGGACATATGAAAGAGTTAGGTGTCATTAGCAGGTAGTCGAGATGCTATAATCAAATCGTGACGGTGACCTTGTAAAGAGATAAATTCAGTTGTTCTTCCTCGTTACCTTGATTGAGGTTAGAGTAGACCTCTTATAGTAATATGGCTATACCGAAAAAGCTCTGACAAGTACCTATTGAGATAAGGACATTACTATAATTGATTTGTTTTGATCCATTTGGACAAAGTCTTTACTACCTCGCATTCAGTCCATTTTCTGAGGTAGTCCCGACGCGATCCATCTTATATTATAGGTCCTTTTTTGGTAAATGCGATATTTCATGAAAACCAAAGATTACCTGTGATAACATGCGCCACATAATGTATCTGCAAGGATGGACAATTAAAGGGTATCAAACAGTTTTGATGTAATGATTAACAACATAGTTAAGTTTTGCACCCAATTTTATGAATATTGTTTGGGATAAAATAGGGTTGATATATACTGATAGGAAATGATAGTTAATAATTTATTTTTGAAGAAGGGCTCAATTTTATCCAGAACAGACTTTTTAATGGAAGAAATTACCTTTTCCTAGTATAGTGTACTATTCCAAGCTTATACCGATTGTTTCCAAAGCATTGTTTTCAAAATTGACTTTGCAGAAAGCTACACATAATAGCACCCTATGAGACAGTGGTCCCAGGTGTGAATATCCAATGTTTAGTATATTCATAATAGACAAGGGTCTATATTCGTAGAAGCAGGCTAAAAGTTATCCCGACTCCAACTTCTCCGGGGTAGGTAAATATCGGATATCTAATCTAACAAATACAATTTCTACACATCTGCTAGCTGTGCATTTTTTCACGAAAGCTAATTTCTTCTTATAAGAGATTATGACGATATGACTTAAAAGAGAGGCGAAAGATACCAAAGGGGTATTCAAAATCATAAGTCAAACACAAACTGAGGGAGCCATGAAAAAAAACGAAAAACGAGGAAAAAACAAACAAGTACAAAGAAAAACTAAAGACTGAACAACACGAACCCCATCAAAATCCAGGGGTGATTTCAGATGCTGCTCAACATGTGATGCCCGTCGTGAACATAACCCAAATCACAGTTTTGCCCTCTAATTCTGATTCAAAATGCGCTAGATTCCTTTTGAGTGTTTTGTTGACGGTTCCTTTTCTCCTGTGTACCTTTTCGGTTTTAAGCCATGGTGTTGTCTGTCTTACTTCGACTTATAGTTTTGACTGCTTCCCTTGTATCTTCTTACTTAATTGAAAATACAGTTTGATAAAAGACCACTGATAATTTCATTGTTGTTTCATGATCATGAAAAAATTCAAATATTAGGTACAAATCTGACTTGTTCAATACAGTCAATATTTTT